CGAGGAGTCACTCCATACCACCGGTGTCAGAGCAGCGTCAACTTCTCTCGCAATCGCCCTCTGTCGTTTACATAGTGGTGTAACTTCGCACAAATACTTAGCATTCTATTTTAAAGTTGTATTCAGTTATATATGACGTGTTGTACCGCTAGAAAACTATACTCAGTTGTCACACGTTACTCTCCCCACTCTCTTTTTCTTTCCTACGTACGGCACCAAAACTGTCCAACACGTGCACGTGGTCACTGTGTTTGTACAACGGCAGAGCACTGAGTGCTACCGTGGCCACCTCGAAACAGGTCAAAAGGCAAATGACTTATGAGTATGTTACTGTACGCGTAATTGTATTAAGCTATGTTATTTCGCGCTCAAAAATCTTCAAAAGGAGTTTCCGCACTTAAATTTCAGCTGCTATGTCATAACAATATTTTGGCAAACGGCCAAGCTCCGTTTCTTTTTGTTGTTCACAGTAGAAAAAGTGGTCTATTTCGCTATCAGACAGGTTAAAACATCCCCCACCCCTCAAAAAAAAAAAAGAAAAAAAGAAGGCAGATTGCATGGTTTTGGCGCTTGCCATGTGCCAACTAAACACGCGGTCGGCAAGCACTCGCTGGAGCCAGAAATGTATAACAATTGCTGAATATATTTAAGACAATATCTTTGGAACTTACAAAAACACTGCAGTGAGAGCAATTTGTCTCTACAAAATATTAAAATATGCTCCAATGCCATGCATACAGGTCTTCTCTGCGCTCACAAATATCGCTTGTACATCCGTCGGACGACGATGCATTTTCCGACATATGCACTCTACTTATCTTACATACAAATTGCGCTGGCCGCAGACTGGCAAAATACTGCACCTCGATCGTACATCGCACATTTTTAGGGGCGAAGCTCCTTGTGGCCCAGAGCAGTTTAAATCCCTCCGGCGTAGCCAGCACAGCACATCCACAGACAGACGTACGCTTCGCCCCACTCATCATCATTCACTTTGTGGATAAGCTGCGATACTTTTTTTTTTTTTGTTCTGTGTGTCTGGCGGATGAACCGAAAGAATGAAAAATAAACAGTGTATTTCTTCATTCTTAGGTGCGCACCATTACATCGGACCAATAGATACGCGCGACGTGTGTGAGCGTGTATGCGACGTTGTATGTGAGTCGTCATAATACAAAGATTTAGGGGCGAAGCTCCTTGAGGCAGTGGCTTGTGCGTCCCTCGTAGTACGTAACCACCAGTGGCACATACCCGAAATAGCAGGTCCTTACGATTTTGACCTCCAAGGTAGTTCCGGTGAGAGATTTGTTCTGTGCGTTGTTGAACAATAAAAGATAGTGCTCAATGCACATGTTAATGGCTGCTAAGGGGGAATGAGAGACAGGAGAGCATTCGGCCTTTAGGTAACGCGCACGCTGCGATCCCCATTAGCAGCTATTGGCATGTACATTGAGCACGATCTGACAAGAAGGGTTGCTACGTTATACTCTCTGGGTGTAACCTCCTTGGTTTTAGAAAGGTTTAGCGAGCGTTGGGCCGCATAGCCATGATTACAGTGAACTAGTATATACCATGAACTCGAGGTGGTTAAAGGTGGGAAGTAAACCCGAAGCGCAAGCCGTAAGAAAGTGTGCGTGTGCCACCTCTCGTTTAGTCCTTGAAATGTCCGCTGGATGGCGGTGCTTCTATATGGAGAATATATGATGAAAAGATGCGAGATGGTGGTACTTGGAGTGCTGAATAGATGGACGAATGGACACACAGACAGATGCATGGATGGGCGCATGAACGGACGCAGGCGCGAATGCATGGACAAACGCGTAGGGACGGACGCACGAACAAGCGCACGCACGGACGGGTGGATGGACGCATGGACGGTTACACAGACGTACGCAGGAACGGACGGAAGCAAGAACGAATGGACGGACGAATGCTTCGCCCCACTCCCCATCATTCACTCCGTGGATATGCTGCCATTTTTTTTATGGTGTTCGAGCTGTTATCCGCGACTCTTCATGTACCTTGGAAGTGTGGCGGTTCGGGCTAGTTGGTATGACATGACGATAGTTATAGCGGGAGAACAGAACGACGACAAAGGGGCAAGAAGGAGACGAGCGCTTACCTTAGCGTTCGTCTCCTTCTTGTCCCTTCGTCGTCGTTCTGTCCTCGCGCTATAAATATCGTCTTCATGTACGTATCTGCATAGCAACTGGTGACGACTGCAGTCTGCAAACAACATCAAATTATAGAATATACTTGCGTCCATGGAGCGACACTGGCTTTATACACTGCATGTACATATACCATGCGTAGTACATGTCGCGTCCTTTAAATTTGTGTATTGAACCTGCTTTCCTTTTGTCACCAAGTGCATGCATGGTGTACTCGGCGATGCAGACTTAAAAAAATTAAGTTTAATTATAATTACCACGATGAGAAATAACAGGTGCGGGATAATCATGACACACATGATTGATAATGATCCTTTCATTATTGGCAGATAACAATCGTGGGATTTCGCGGGTTTTGCCACGATCGAATTCCGGATGGCGTTACGTAGTTCTCTGCCGAGGCTCTGGAACCTCGTTAGGTCTAGCTTGGTATGATAGTATAGTGAAGCAGTGTTTTGGTTCCAAGTGCAGTCGCCCACGGTCCACGGCACCAGACTTCCTGGCACGACCGAAATGGAGAAGGAGCTAGGCAGCATGATGTTCACGACTAACCATGCGCACGATCGATGGAAAGTTGCCGTCATGTCGAAATGCACAAAGCCGCAACCTCGGCTGTCGACGAATTTAACGTCGCTGGTTCAAACTGGCCCAAGCGAACAATGTCGCCAGCAGAGCAATAGATGGTGACAAAAGCCGTCGATGGACCTGACACCATCCACGTAGTTCGCACAGGTATTATAATGACCATATAAGTGCAGCAGTGGCGTAGTCAGGGGCATAGGCGTGCGCCCGATTGGGGGGGGGGGGGGTAATATGCCCCTGCGACGAACGCTTGCCCTCCGTAAGCACTCCGCTTCCGGCGGAGGGCAACCGAAAAAAATCGACCAACGGTGGTGGTAGCTAGTGGTTAGAACAGGAGAAAGGCAGCCTAATTTCTGCCGCCCGATCGGGAGCACGGCGCATGTGGGATACTCAGACGGGAGCGCTTGTGCTCGCCCCCTCCATGTGTTCGCCAGAAAATGGCGGGAGGTGCTAATGTACATCCGCTTCCGGAAGCGCCCAGCCTTTCTTGCGTTTCGCGCAGTTTTGGTCACCTTCAGCGTGCGCGGACAGCGCGTTCCGTCAGTCACATGGTACGCCACGGAGGAGTGTGGTACGCTATGCCCAGCGCACGCGCCGAGTGCATGCGACTTCAAGTCGAATCAGACGCTTCTCGTGGAGTAGAGAGGTTGCGCCGTGGAGTGGATCTGGCGGCAGACCTGCCTATGAAACAGACTTAATAGGAAATACGAACAGCTCAAGGGACACACGCATGCGCGCGCGCACACACACACACACACACACACACACACACACACACACACACACACACACACACACACACACACACACACACACACACACACACACACACACACCAGGGGCGGCGCCAGGGGGGGGGGGGCAAGGGTGGGCTGGAGCCCCCCCAAAATTCTCGCCTGCCCCCCCCCCCCCCCCCCTATGCCCACCCAAGTGCCCGGAAGCATATATTGAAAACCTAGTAGGAGCAGAGCTAGCTTGCCCCCCCAGTAAAAACATGCTGGCGCCGCCCCTGACACACACACTGCTACTGGAGGTGCACATGAATCTGCCAATGGAATTGGCCATAACGGTAACATATGCCTGTGGCGCAACCCACCATTATCATTTTCATGTACAGTATGGTCCAGTGTTAAAGGGAACGCTCGAATGCACACCATCAATATTCCGGGCCCTCGAAGAGCAAGTAGATTAAGAAACAGTTCTTCATGCAAGTCAATATTATGTCAAGAGGAGTCGCCACTTTTAATCAACAGTAGTTTTTTGCATATATAAGGCACTATGATTCTGTATGATAGTGAAATCTAAACATGCTGCTCACGCAGGTGTTCTCTCTAACAGTGGATCCGTCTGTACATGCCCTCTAAGTAGACTGCATAGTAGGCACCGGGACAACCAGTATTGCCAAAATGAAAGCCTCAAAGTTGAAAAGAAGTTTCGTTCTGGAAGGGCGCAGTATTGCCAAAACAAAGCCTCAAAGTTGGAAAGAAGTTTCGTTCTCGATTAGGGGAAGGGTGCAGGTGGTTTGACATTGTAAAAAAAAAAAAGGCGAATTATAGCCACGTTTGCTGCTCCCGTTCGGTATGCAGAGCGAGAGCACGTACTGCACTTTCACATGTAAGACCTGCACCGAAATTTCTGTAAAAGAAAGTCACATCTCAACAAATTTCTGTAACAGTTAAATTTTATCCATCTTTCAGAAACCCCTGCTGTACGTGTTTTCCTCCCTCCCATAGGCTTGCACATGTAGAGGAGGGGGGCAGGCTTCCTCTAATCATTTAATTAAGGGTGTGCCAAGTCTGCCCCAAACCTTTACTTCTTTTAAGACTTCTTCCATCATTGTTTGACGTGCAGAGTTCAGCCACAAAGGTTTTTGGCGATAATGGAGGCGAAAGACCTCTGATGCTGTATTCCAAGAACTGTTTATTTCTCACCTTTACCGCTGGAAAGCTGAAGACTCAAGGCAGGCCATTGTGAAAAGCAAATCTTCCTTCACATTTGTTGTGAAGCTTGTTTCCTTTTGGGCTTAACAAACAAGGAAGGGAGGGGTGTGAGACTTGCCTCCCTCTTCCTTAAGAGGCCAACTTCAAACAAAAGCTAAGACAAATGCATTTTACAAATGGCAAGCTGGGCAATAGTATTTTATATTTTATTCTTAAAAAGGCTGCCATTCCAGGATGATTAGCTTCAACGGTTTGTGCAAAACCACTGCTAAGCAGCAGTCACTCTTTCCATAAACAGACACAGAAATGTTGGGCCAACTTTTTAATGAATAAAGTAAACAACAGACTGCATGCTCTTTCCACAAACAGATGCCAGCATGTGAATGTGAGAAAATAACAAATATGCCGTTCACTCTTGTTGCCCACCCAGGTTAATTAGACAGGCCATTACACGTAGCACATTACTGTTATCAGAACAGGGTGTTTGTCTGAGGGGAAGTGGTTGTAGTGGTGGACCTGGTGACCAATAGGTCTCGCTCCTGCAATATGCCATCACCATGCAGTACCACACAGTATCCGCGCTGCACCTTGCCAAGTCCTCGATGCATTCAACAGCAGCCTGGATGTAACCATTGCAGATTAAAAGAATCAGTTTGCCAGAATTCTCATGAATTTAACATACTCTAACATGAGCAACACTTTAAATAATATATGTGCATAGACAAAAAACAAAACACAGGGAAGTGTCTTTACAGTGACAATGAATATTTCTGCCTACACATCACATGACTAATAATAATTGTAGAAGTTTAACATCCCGAAACAACCATATGACTATGAGAGACGCCACAGCAGAGGGCTCCAGAAATTTGATCCACATGAGGTTTTTTAACGTTCACCTTATTAAATATATATAGACCTCAAGAATTTTCGCCTCGATCAAAAATGTGGCCGTAACAGCTGGGATTCAATCCTGCGACCTGCGAGTTGGCAGTTGAGCACCGTGAACTCTAGACCACTGTGGCAGGTCAGTCCCACCACATGACTAGGCATTGTTCTATTCCCTACTGGTGCTACTACAGTGAGTACCACATTTTGCCACCTCGAAATCTGCCTGAGAGTAGCTTGCGGAACAGTTACTAATTGCCACTATTTATACCATGTCCACACCATAAACGTTCACTCTGAAGGTCCTGATAATGTGCAAAATAAGTTTATATATTTCTTTTACCTATGCATACCATTTAAAACCAAAACAAGTGTTTAGCATGCTTTGGTAGCCGTATTCTTAAATCAAAATTTCAATTGTTTTGAACTTCATCTGAACTTGATCACCGCAGTTAAACATTCAAAGCTGTATGCACTGCTTGATTTAATTAAAAGATTAATTTCTCTGGCTCTTCCTGTGTAACAATATTAAAGGCATGAAGCAGTAATAACTTCATTGTAAACAGGATAACATCAGCATAAAGCCCTAGGTATAGCGTTACATTACTCTGAATGATCAGATATTCACCGAGCCATAAAGAAAGCAATTGCACTATATTCACCACATTAACAAAAATAAAGAAAGAGCTCTGGTGAGACTAACCTCTTGTAACTTCAGGGGCTGTGAGAGTTCCAAGTAAGGCACTACAGCTGATGCCAACAGGTCAATGCCTTGTTCCTGAACTTCAAGCTGAAATATTTGATCTAGTCATACTTATTTTGTCCCAAATAAGTTATACACAGCCTCAAGATGTTAGCAAATGTTTGATAGCCACCGCAAGGAAACTGCACATGCTTAATAAAGCACAACTGTGAATATCACAAGCTACAAATGCAGTAATTTACTGTACAGTCTTTGCCCCCTACCTTAATCTGCTTTACACCTTACATAGACCCCCTTCGTAAGCCTTTGTTTTTCTTGCGCTGTCACTAGTGGAATCAGTTCACATCTTCTATTTACTAAAGGTAGACGTCCGGATTTAGGAGTGTCCAGTTTCCAGCAGAGCATCTAGGCCTAATTCTGGCCTTTCTGTGCTGATGACAAATTGTCACTGTACCATACATATGCCTTTCTTTTGCTCCAAGCTTCATTATGACTCATTTTTTAATTTTCTAGGTGCACTCAAAGACTTCAAATTGTTTTATTATTATGAAACTGGTCAGAAAGAGGTGCCCAGTTATCCAAATCGAACTGAAATTACCTGGTCTTCAAGCAAAGATTACCATGTTTGAAAAGTCAATAACTTGTTATCATCTAGCACAGTCTTGGGCACTGAACTAAAATTTGAAGGTTCCAAGCAGACAATGACTTAAGTGCAGAGACTAAACATTAGTGGCAACACAATTGTTTAATTGATGGCAACACAATTGTTTAATTGATATGTGGGGTTTAACATCCCAAAACCACCATATGATTATGAGAGACGCAACACTATTGTTTGAAACTTCCGCAACTAACAATTGGACCAAATACTAAGTGCTGAAGTCATTATTGGGTACTTATACCATTCCATGCCAATCACTGAACAGAGAAGCATAGAGACAATCACCAAATCGGGAGATATACTGAAAACGAGTAACTGAAAATAGGGCACATCAGCTGCATTTATAGTCAGTTTTAAGGCAAGTTCTGATTCAATATAAAAATCTGTCGCTTACCTGGCAGGATATTGGCCCTAGTTGCCTAAGAAGGACAAGCTGATATTTAAAGGCAGAAGTTATTTCATATGGCTTTCCTTTGTTTTTGCTGCAAAGGAAGCACAACAGCTATTGACTATTTGCTCTGTGCACAAGCAGTAAGCTACACGTCACCAATGCACTAAGAAAGCTCATGATATTTTAAAGTCCCATGTTTCACTATACTTTCATCCGTTTTCTTCCAAAAGCCATGCACTTACCTAACAGCATGTTGATTGTGAAGGAACTCTGCAAGCCTCGGCCACACCTCCCGCATAGTTCGCTCCCTAATGAAATCGCGTGATGCCTCTGCCAGGGAACCAACAACCTCAAAGGCCTGCATGTTTGCAAAATGCAGCATTAAGAAATCATAACTGGAATGACAATGACACTGTGTGTGTACAAACCCACCTTTGCACAGAGATGCCAATTATCCTTTTGGAAACGAGCAACTAGGGGCTTCCACAGCAGGTGCACAGCTGGCAGGAGCTCATCTGAAAGAGGAAGACAAAATATGATTAACTAAGCATGCAGTGCACAAATGAGTGGACATGTGCTTTGTGTCATAGCATGATTTCAAAACCAATGCAGAATGTCTACGAACACTAGCACTAGCAAGTATAAATGAAATGAGAAATCTCACTGCTGGGGCAATGAGCTTTCAGCGTATGAAAGTCACAGAAAAGCTATCTGTACTGCATGCAGCCTGAAAAGTGACACATAATTTAGCTGTGCCCTTCTCCTGTACGCTGCAAATAATCAAAATTTGATTGCAAGGAGTCCACAGAGAAACAAGCTTCACTTTTTGGAATATCTCTGCTTATGCACAAGACATATCAAGCCGCGCTGCAAGCAAAATAAATAAACTTCTGGTGCGCAGCGATCACGTAGAAATGTGGAATTGTTGCAGATGCTGTTCTGCTGCACTCTTACAAAGTTGACCAGCACTCAGTAAAGATGAATACGTTAACGCCACTTAGTGGCTTGTTTTACGAGTGAGAACTCACTATGGTGTAGCTAAGTATGGTCGCTACGTCTCCTATTATCAGTTCTTTTGATGTTGCAAACCATAGGATCAAACTTTACAAGGAAGGTATAAAATACTTCGTGCAAAACAGATGCTGCCTATATTCTCAACAAACCGTCTTACCTTGATAGCATGACATTGGAATGACAGCATGCTTGATAATACTAAGCACAGCTGTTTGAATGTAGATATTTGAACTTGACTGCAAGTGTATGCATCTCTTCAAGACCTGGCAAAGGGATCATTAAAAGGGAAGGCAAACCCTTATTCAGAATTTCACTTTGGCTACAGCCTAAATGGTTGTTCAAGTGCAGCAATCAATCTTAAGAAAGAGGCAGTGAAGCACAGACCAACACAGTAATTTGACACTTTGAGGTGCAACGGTAGTGCTAGTGTGTCATTGTGACACTAACAGTTTTCCTTTTTTTTTGTCACTAGCTCACTGTGGCACAATGACAGCTGACAAAGCTTTTGAAGATTGATTGATTGATATGTGGGGTTTAACGTCCCAAAACCATCATATGATTATGAGAGACGCCGTAGTGGAGGGCTCCGGAAATTTCGACCACCTGGGGTTCTTTAACGTGCACCCAAATCTGAGCACACGGGCCTACAACATTTCCGCCTCTATCGGAAATGCAGCCGCCGCAGCCAGGATTCGAACCCGCGACCTGCGGGTTAGCAGCCGAGTACCTTAGCCACTAGACCACCGCGGCGGGGAAAGCTTTTGAAGATTAGTCTTTGGAATCTTTTCTATAGGTAAAGTACATTTACTTATCAAAAACTAACTATGCCTGAAAGACACCATTAAAGCCCACGACATCACTTGTAAATTATATTGCCACTATGAAAGGGTGTTTCGTTAATAGTATTGTCAAAGAGAAAATTACTAATGCAGTTGAAATTGCGTAGTTCGCTCTTTAGGACCTCTTTTGTTGCAATTATAATGCCTTGTGTGAGTTCAACCCTGTACTAGGAAAACATGCATGGTAAGTCAGTTTGCCATGTGTTGGGCGTTGACATCATTTGGTCACAACTCCTAGAAAGTCGGTACGTACCTGCACGAGCAGCTTGATGTATCCGGGCACCAGTGGCTTTTCATCCATTTCAACATCACACACGTTTTGCTGAGGTGCTGCTTCACTGTTTTCAAATTCCTCGTCACTGAATTCCATATCAGCAGACAGTGTCTTGCATCGATGTAACTCTTCCACAAACTGCCTGAATGTCTTGGCTGGAGGCATTTGCATGGTCACACTGTCCTTCAGCCCACCCTACATAATTAGTAACAAGCCACACAAATGTAAGCTGTAGCAGAAAAAGTACTGCTTAGTCATAAACAATCTTCAAAGTTCTTATATATATAAAACACATGTTCCACTCCATTACTTGTAAGTGTAAGTGACCATATGCAAGGTTGTATTTATAATATGAAAGCTAAACACTACGAAACATGTTCTTACTTTGTTTTCAGGACTAACGCAAGCCTTGAAAGGACATTGCTAGCTATGAAATCAGAACATGTATACAAATAAAAAAAGAGTTTAGAATACTTAACAGTATGCTTTATCTATGTTGTAAAACAAATTATTTTTCTTCTGAATCTTTTTGCACCACATTAAAAAAAGTAAGATTTCAAATGAAAGCAACAGGTAAGAAACAGTAAAAGTTGATAAAAAAAAAGGTCTAAATTCAGACTTTTCAAGAGAAGACATAATCTCTGTGCATGTCTACAAAGGCAGTAAGAAAAAAAGAAGCGAGAGGAGAAACTTCTCTCAAGCTGGTAACACACCGTTTTAGGTGCAGCAGGAAACCAAGTATTCACATAGACCACTATGCTCGCTAGGACCTTCAGGAACGGCAGTGCACTGTCCTTGTGACAGAAGTCAAGTGCATTCAAGACCTGCAGCATGAACATTTTCCTTTTGTGAAACAGCTTAAGCATTCCTTAACAAAAAAGCACAAATGTTAACTTCTTTATTAATGGTTCAGAAATTCTAAATTTTTTGGAAAAGCAGGCTCTTAGCAAAGGCAATTCATGACTTAATAGTGCATTAGCTTGTGAACCTGACCGTTTGTGGCAATAAGTATCGTGCAAGCTTAGATGAATAGGAAATTGAGGCAAGGCAATATACTAACGTGCACTGATGAATATCATTCACAACAAACACTATGGTCAATCTTGCTGAAATAATGGCAGTGCCTGAGAATTTTCACAGGCTGCAATCTGTGCCCACGTGTTTTCCCCACACATTCACCTGATGTGCCACCCCCTGTGAAATGCTCATGATAGAGAAATGGGCATTGATTAACATTATCCACATTTCCATGGCCTACTACGCTAGCCACTGCAAGTGATGCGATAAAGGTGAAGATAAAGTTGGTGATATATGCAGCAGCCCACGCATCTTTCACCGACATCCAAATCAATTCAAAGTTTTCAATTAGTACTTTTTCTTCAGAATTATGTTACTGTGCTCAAGCTTGTGCACCAATAGCTACTGTATATTCTTACAAATGGCATCACTTTTTTTTCCATAAATTTGAGCCAGAATTTCTTAGCTGCGGTTTGTACATAAGTGAACAGTATGTTAATACATATTTACTTTGAAAAAGCAATGGGCCTGCTACAAAAGTTCATGAAATGTATATAATATTAGCTTAGTTTGCTATCCACACTCCAGTGCTGGTAAGTAACTGTAGAGTTGGACCTTCTGGAACCACATTCACAGCAAACACTGTTATGATGTAAAAAAAAGTTGCAAGATGTTACCGAGCTAACAAGTGAATAATCATCACAGAAGAAGCCCCAAAAATATGTTTTTATATCCTTGAAAATATTTTAAAATTTAATTAAAAGTATCTCTCAAGTATGAAAGGGAGATTAAAAGAATACTCCTATTATTTTGTACAGTAAAAATACACGCAACTATGAACAAAAATACAAGTTTCTTCTTTAACATTGTCGCCAAGGTAGCATTCATTCTGTTGTCAATTCCCACCACATTCTTTCAACTTCCATACTCAACTATTCAATGTAATTGACAAACACACTATTGTTAAATGCAATAACTAAAAAAGCTATATTTGCTACAAAACTGCAAATAAGCCCATAGAACGCAACAAGTGACTGGAAAACTTTCCACACAACTCGGCAAAAGAAGAAGCTCAAGTCTATTTTATTAGAAGCGAAACTGACAACTATGAACTATCCTCAAACATAAGCATAGATGCTGTGTCTCATGCAAACTCTGACAAATAATGGTGCTCGTGTACATTTTACTTAGCATGAAACCGATGAAAACTTGGTGCATAAACAATTACAGTATGCATAAAGGCTATGAGTGATGACTAAAGGCACACATTCAGTTCACAAACATGTCTGTACGTTGGAACAAAGCATGCTGCAAATGCTGCGGCTCTCACCAAATGCCACACCAAATGTAACACTAAAACACTCCCAGGGTTTTCACATGAAATGCAAAGAAGTGGCAGTTGGAAGCTCTTCATACTTTTCTGGCAGTGTTGGACAATGATTTATGCAAAAATAGTGGAAAGCTTGACATGGCCAGTTAATACATGAAAGACAGCACAGCTGGACAAAGTGACAGCACATCCTGTAGAACACTGTGAAAGAAACTTGATGACAATGCAGCGCTTAGCTTTTTCCCACCAACAGACTTGCACACCCAGTCAAAACACAGAGAATAACACACATCCACATACTGTGCATACTGCACACAGGTACTGCTGTGCACAGAGTTTGCTAAATCAACTAGAGGGGACTCTGGTGATGCAATCGCTCGGCCACCATGGGGATGATGGGTAGTACACAAGTTTGCCCACTCTTCATGCTTGTTGGTTTGACATTTCTGGCTCTGTTTATCTCTGTGTTTTGCTTTTTTTTCAAATAAAAGAGTGGACCATAGTGAATTTTGTGATGGTGACCCGATTTGAGTTGGTGAGCCTAAAAGATTAAGGTGGTGAAGTGCAACTACTGAACATTTGCTGATTGTGGTCTTGTGACAAAGCGGAGAACAAAGATCAGACAAATTTGTGTACTACGCACCATTCCTATGCTGAATGAAGTGCCCCATGTAGCAGCTCCCACAGACCAGAGTTCCCTCTAGTGTATTTATAGTAAACTCTAAGCTGCTGTGTGGCTGTGGCTGGCAATGTGAGTGCATGCAAAAAAAAAAACTTCATAGACTAATAATTTTTTTGTGGAATATCCATGCCTGTTTTTATGACTCCAGTGCTTACACAATACGTGATATGCTTGCAGAAATATCTGGAATAAAACTTGCCTCATGACCAACATCCTCCAAAAGGCCAGCGCTACTTTTGTCACTATGCTTAGCCAAAGCCTGCACGATTCGAGTGACGTCACCATGAGAACCTGGATGCCTAAGCTTGAACAACACTGTGTTGGCAATGTAGTCCGTGTTATGGTGGATCAGTTCTGAAATAGAACTGGAAACCAAGATGAAAGACCAGAGTTAAAGCTGCACTCTGGAATAAAAATGTAGGATCGCAGAGTATGAAAATGATTTGGCATTTGTGGAAAGCATTGCATGAGTGAGCTTTAGCAAATGCCAAAAACTTAATAATGCAGGCTTCTTTTAAAACCCAGAATGCACTTTTACTAGAGTTAGAACTAGGATGCCACAAAGAAACTTTGTTTATTATGACTGTAGTCTGGAGGCCGAAAGCAGTTGCAGCCAAAAGCCAGCCACGTACCTGTAACCACAAGCTTTTGCAACTCGCCACAAAGTTGTGCATGCCACATGAGATACCAGATAGTTCTGGCTGTCGGCTTTCTCCAATATTGGGCAGAGACATATCCTCAGCAAGGGCTGGAAATTGCTCGAAAGCTGCAAAAAAGATCACCAGCATGTGACTTGTTTTAATCATTCAGTGTGAATCCCACAATGATGCCACTGAAAGGACACTGCACGACAAAGTGAAAGAGAAAAAAGAAATAGGATTGAGCCAGGAGTCATCACATCTATGTGATACAGTTCCTCAGCTCTGGTAAGAGAAAAGGCAGGGAAGTAATGCCACGCATAGACAATAATAGAAAAAAAAAAGTGGGAAGGTATCCATGTTGACCTTGACTCTGCTACTAGCAGCAGGGTAACAAGACAGTTTGATTTATTTCATGCTCTCTAATGAAGTAATTTTTTTTCACAACACTACCTTCGTAGCACCTTACAAATTGCAAAGAAAGCATTGCTGAAAGTTTTAAAAAGGCCTTGCGGTAGACTACTTATTGTGATTATTACGACTGACGAGTGATGTATGCTGCGCAAAAGTGACTGACTGACAACATAGAAAAGACTGGAAACATATCACAGAGTGAGAGTACGCTGTTAAACTGTCTCCTGTGTTCTTTGCAGTCGGACCTCCATAGCGTCTCCCTATCACAAGTCCATCGCCAAGGATACATGAACCAACTAGCCCCTTTTGTTGCTTTACTACCTCTCTTTTTCTTATGCATAATTTTCACTGCATTTCTTTTTTGTACGTAAACATGCAGTAGACAGCTTCTTTTATGTGAAAGGTGGCATAGATTGATTGATTGATATGTGGGGTTTAACGTCCCAAAACCACTATATGATTATGAGAGACGCCGTAGTGGAGGGCTCCGGAAATTTCGACCACCTGGGGTTCTTTAACGTGCACCCAAATCTGAGCACACGGGCCTACAAAGGTGGCATAGAGTATCACATGCACATTCCTCATACAAATGTGAAGAGGCTGCAATTTTTTTCTTTACTGACAAAAACCTCCAAGCTTAATGAGCAGAATGCAACATAAATGGTTGGTATGGCTCCTTACCTGAGAAAGCACTGCTACTGCATCTAGCAACAAGCAGCTTTGTAAAATATTTGAATTCATCTTGTCCAGTGGAATGATGCAAAGTGAATGCTGCTGTGTAGCACCTCCTGTGTTTTCGGCTCCTCCTGTTCCAGTCAGGGGCAAATCCCAAAGGTTCATTGAAACAAAGTGCTCCAGCAGTGATCTGAAAAGGAGACTTCCCGTTAGCTCAAATGTCACAACTGACTCAGCATCAAACCGCCACAGTGGTCATGGCACTAGACTGCCGACTCGCAGGTCATGTTTGATGGAGGCAAACATGCTTCAGGTCTATGTACTTAGGTTCAGGCGCATGTTGAGAAACCTCAGCCGGTCAAAACTTCTGGATACCTCCACTACAGCATTTTTCATAGTGATGTAATTTTTAAGGACGCAAGACCCCAATGAATATTTTTACTGACACAGCATCACTTTTTCTTTTAAACTGAGTTCACTGAAGTGAACAGCAATGACTTAGTTAAAAAGCAGGCAGTTTGGAAGACTTTACTATGTTAGTCTGTTGCATTCCTATACAAAAAGTACCTCGAACATACTGTGGTTGTGCACATTTATTTGTGAAAAATGAAAAGTTTAGCGCTATTTCTATGCAGTGAAGACCACTAGATAACCTGAGCCTCGCTGAAAAATTTGCGTACGTCCATATTCATAGGAAGCAGCCAGGGTGGTGTGTGCAACAGGTTTATTTTATGTTTCTACAGTACTCGCGGATTCAAGTGTGACATCAATTCTTTTTTAGTAACGATTTGTATGAACAACGTCTTGAGGTAACCATGTTATGTGATGATCGATTTGGTCTATAAAGATAATGTTGGCTCTGGCCTACACATTCGAGTCAAGATTACGCTGACCCAAATTGAAGACGATGGAAATGACAGTGTGTATGTTACTTAGGCCTAAATTGTCCCGTTTCAATCCACGAGTACTGTGCATACTGCATATGCAATGTACATATCAAGAAACATAGGAGTACTGTTAGGTTAATGAATATGCTGCATCCGAACATGCTTTGTGCATACAGCCTCGCAAAATCATCAAGGAAGGTGAGCAGTTTCACTTCAGTACCAATTCCTACTTCATCTAGACAAAAATATAAAATCAAGACCTTATTTGTATTGCGGACTCTTGCATAGCTAGAAATGAAGAACAATGCAAGATGCAGTTAAAACCAGCTGCATATCATAAACATCACCTCGCCTCCTGTTCACTGGGGACCCTCATAATATTCCTATTGCAGTATCAAGCAGCTCAGCTTTCTGCATTAAATGTAGGGTTTCGAATATCTACAGCAGTATATCACTACTAAACAAGGCTAGAAGGGACAGATGAATATTCGGGTGCTTTGAATATTTAAAACAAATGTTGCAGTATTTGAATTCGTTTCAACAAGAATTTAGATTATTTAAAAAATTTGAAGTATTTGCAATGAACGAAAATATGCATGTTTGAGAGCATAAAATCCTTACTGTTAAAGAGGTTAGACAGCTACGTTCGAATGCTATGCCAGGAAATAACCAATCCAGGGAAAATCTGCACTGCTGCATGCCACACTTCAAGGCTTAAAATACATATTGTGGGCATTTAGTATACCAATCCTCTTCATCTGTACATTATCATCATTATCATGTGTTGCTCATGCATCCTCATTGTTGTCACGTAGCATCATCATCTTGGTTCGTTCATCTCAGCTGTCGGTTGCCGGTTCCTCGGGCCTAATAAAGGTCTTCCAAACCAAGACTTCATACGTGGTGGAGCGTGCTGTTAGATCCCTCGTCATTCTCTCGACCACTCTACCCCCTGGAGCTACGTTCAGGTCGCCGCTTGGGCCAGGTGTCTGGAAATATGTCGCACCAAGAAGAGGTCGGTGCTGCAACCGTTTCCACTCCGCCACCGCGTGCCGCGCCTTTTCACGTCATTAACAGCCTCCAGCGTGAGCCCTATCCCTTCGCTGGTATGCGCGGGGAAGATGTGGAGGAATGGCTGGACGATTTCGAACGTGTCGGCGCTGCTAACCGGTGGGATAACACCTACAAACTCGCTTTCGTGTCATTCTACCTCACGGGTGTCACGAAGACGTGGTTCCTCAACCACTTCATCGACATCTCCGACTGGTCAGCCTTCAAAGATCAGCTTCACCATGTCTTTGGCACACCGACTGTTCGTTCGGCTCTCGCAAAGAAAGCTCTCGCGGCTCGGAAACAGCACATCGGGGAGTCGTATACATCCTACATCGAGGATGTCCTTTCACTTTGCCGCCGGGTTGAAACCCCAATGACAGAGTCAGACAAGGTACGCCAACTTCTTAAGGGGATTGCACCCGTCGCATTCAATGCCCTTGCAATCCAGAATCCGGCTACCATTGCTGACGTTGCGACGACCTGTCAGCGCCTCGAAGAACTTGAGTCTATGCGCCTACAACCGGACAGCGACGCGGCCCGTATTACGGCGGATCCAAACCTACGAGACACAATAAGGGTGATTATACGCGAAGAATTAGAATCAATGGGATTCACACTACCTTCAGTGTGTCCCATTCAGTCTTCTTCAACGTCATTGCGGGATGTCATCAGGGAGGAGCTCACGTCCATGACCCACATGGCCCACCTGCAGCCCACTGTCGCTCGTACTCTCCCATCGTTCTCGCATGCCGTCGCCGCACCATCAGGCACCGTCAGCTCGAGGTCGCTGCCACCAACGTACACGTCGGTTGCTGCTGCACCTCCCAGAAGTTTTCCCACGAGCTTTCCATCACCACCACCTGAGCCATCATCTGTCCCTCTCACTGCTCTCTCTCTCGGTGCATCTAACACAAGCTACTACCCTCCTTATCGATCGACTCGCCCTACGTGCTATTATTGCGGCTATCGTGGTCACATTTCACGCTTTTGCCGCAAGCGCCAGCAAGATGAGCGCCGAGGATACGACATACGCAGACGAGACTATACCGCAGGAGCCTTGTACCAGGGCCGTCGTTATTCGTCACCGCCGCGTCGGTCTCCATCTCCTCCAGCATCCGGTGAACTGCGCAGTAGTCATCGATCAACCCGACGCCGTTCACCATCGCCCTACCGTCGCTCCTCTTTTCCTCTTCAGCCTGCTTCCCTCGCTTCTGATCGGCGTCCGGAAAAATAAGCGATGCAGTTTTTGGAGGACAAACTGCATTTCAACACAGTACTCCAATTCCTCCAGCGCGCCCTTACAATATAATTGCAGTGTCAGTTGAGGGAGTGGACGTTGATGCTTTGGTGGACACTGGGGCTGGGTTTTCTATTATTCGTGCTGATTTGTGTACCCGTCTTCGAAAAGTCACGACGCCTTATGATGGACCAACACTGGTTACAGCCCAGAAAACAATGATTCACCCTTCCGCTCTCTGTACTGCCCGTGTGCTAATCGACGACATTATTCATCATATACAATTCGCTGTGCTATCCCCGTGCTCCCACGAACTTATTTTAGGCTGGTACTTTCATTCATCTGCTTCCGCGGCTATTTGTTGTGCACAACGTGTCGTCCATCTTACTGACACAGACCACTTGCTTAGTGATGAAACCTACAGGCCACTTCGACTCATCGCTGCTGTAGACATCGAGTTACCCCCAAATGAACATCAATTAATCACAGTTTTGTCCAACGACGTCGACTCTGGTGACATTTTGGTCACTCCATCACCCCGTTGCCTTAATAAAGGCATAGCTCTCGCATCAGGTGTGGCTCGCTTCAACAATGAATCAGCTGTCCTCGCCGCTACGAACACCACACCAGATAAAATTTTACTGCTGTGGGGCACTACTGTCGCCTGCGTTGCCGATCAGGAGCCTGTGTGCGTCGTGCCTCTTACCCCTGCCTCCTCTAAAGGCCATCCTGGAAATCATGCTGCTTCCTCGGCCTTTACAGCAGCCATCAACAACGACTTGACAGACTCGCAGAAGCAGCAGCTGCTTGATTTGTTGCAAAAGCATGCAAACTTTTTTAACGTTCATTCATCCAGCCTGGGTCAGACAACTGCTACAGCACATCGTATACAAACCGACGGAACATCTATTGTGCATCGTCGTCCGTACCGCGTTTCCCTAGCCGAACGAAAAATCATTGAGGAAAACGTAGACGATATGCTGCAACGGGAGATAATCCGACCCTCAACCAGTCCTTGGTCGTCTCCAGTGGTTCTGGTGCGTAAAAAAGACGGTTCTGTACGATTTTGCGTCGATTACCGAGCACTCAATAAGATCACTAGGAAGGACATATACCCCATGCCACGTATCGACGACGCCCTCGATTCCATACAAGGTGCTGAATTCTTTTCAAGCCTCGACTTGCGCTCTGGCTATTGGCAAATCCCCATGCACGAAGATGACAAAGAAAAAACTGCGTTTGCTACCCCGGACGGCCTATACGAATTCAATGTTATGCCGTATGGTCTATGCAATGCGCCCGCAACTTTTGAGCGCTTGATTGACACCGTGCTGCGTGGCCTGAAATGGAAGACTTGCCTATGTTACCTCCATGACATTGTTGTCTTTTCATCGACGTTTCCTCAACATCTGCAACGCTTGGACGAGGTCCTGACTTGCCTTGCGGGCGCTGGTCTTCAAATTAACACCAAGAAGTGCCATTTCGCCAGCAGATCTATCAAGGTCCTCGGTCATGTTGTGAGCAAGGATGGAATTCGTCCAGACCCTGAGAAAACTGCTGCGGTGCTTCGCTTCCCTCGCCCTGACAAGCCGAAAGATTTGCGAAGTTTCCTTGGTCTCGCCTCTTACTTTCGGCGATTCATACAAAACTTTCCTCCATAGCCGCACCACTCCATAAGCTACTTGCTTCTGGTATGCCCTTTCAGTGGTTTCAGGAATGTGAATCGGCTTTCGACAGGTTGAAGAGTGCCCTCACGACCGATCCTGTACTTTCTCATTTTCACGATGGTGCACCAACCTTCCTCCATACAGACGCTAGCGGCCACGGTTTAGGAGCCGTGCTCCTCCAGCACGACAACTCTTCGCGAGAGCGTTGTGTACGCCAGCCGCGTCCTCTCCGCAGCCGAGAGGATCTACACGATCACCGAGAAGGAGTGCCTCGCCATCGTTTGGTCAGTGCAGAAATTTCGTCCCTATCTTCACGGCCGCCATTTCACCATTGTGACCGACCACCACGCTTTATGTTGGCTTTCGACACTCAAGAACTTGTCGGGACGCCTTGGCCGCTGGATTCTACGCCTACAAGAGTATGATTTTGCCATCGTATACAAGTGTGGCAGAAAGCATAGCGACGCCGATGCTCTTTCTCGCTGCCCACTACCAGCGGCTCCCCTCAGCGTTTCCGCAATCACTTTGCACAACACACCCTCGGAGTCCACGTCTACGGCGGTTTCCTCTCTCGCCTCTATGGACCAGCTGCCTTCGGACGACCTGCACGATTTTTCTTCTCGACAGCTGGTTGACCCATACTGTCGACGTATTATAGGCTACCTCACTGGCAGTTCCCGCCCACCTAATGTGAGGCTCCGTCGCCAACTGTCGCAGTTTAAGCTGAACAACTCGGTGCTGTACCGCAAAATTTACCATCCTGACGGTCAGTGCTGGGTTCTCGTTCTACCACGATTCCTTCGGTCCGAAGTCCTCAGAGCACTTCATGACCATCCGACGGCTGGTCACCTTGGTTACCACAAGACCTACGATCGCCTTCGAAGTCGGTTTTATTGGCCAGGTATTACCTCTAGTGTAGCTCGGTACGTTGGGTCCTGCACTACCTGCCAATGTAGAAAACTACCCACATCTGCTCCAGCCGGTACACTACAGCCTCTTCCGTGCCCAGCCACACCATTCGAAGTTGTAGGCATCGATCTTTATGGCCCCCTTCCAGTCAGTGCTGCTGGAAACCGATGGATAGTAACAGCCGTTGACCATTTGACGCGCTGCGCCGAGACGGCATCCGTCACTACCGGTTCAGCTTCTGAAATTGCCGATTTCATCCTTCGAGCCATTATACTGCGTCATGGTGCTCCACGTGCATTCCTCAGCGACTGTGGAAGGGCCTTCCTTTCACAACTAGTGAACAAACTTCTTCGCGCCTCTGGCACAACTTACAAGACTGCCTCTAGTTATCATCCCCAAACTAACGGCCTCACTGAGCGATTCTACTGCACTCTTGCTGACATGATCGCCGCCTACATTCAACCAGACCACAAGAACTGGGATGTAGTTCTACCATTCGTCACTTTTGCCTACAATATGGCTATTCAGCGGACAACCGGCTACTCACCATTTTACCTAGTTTATGGACGCTCCCCTACTTCTCTCCTGGACATCTCTTTCTTTACCTGCCATGCGGATTCATCTCCATCCTCTTCAGAGGAATACGTTTTACGGCTCGCAGAGAGCCGCCAACGTGCTCGTATAAACACTGAAGCCCTACAGCAAGACAGAAAGCTGGTTTATGATGAATCGCATCGTGCAGTATCCTTTCAACCTGGAGACGAAGTCCTCCTTTTGACGCCTATTCGCACACCTGGTTTGTGCGACAAATTCCAGCCACGATTTATCGGGCCGTACACAGTTCTTGAAGAAACTTCACCAGTGAATTATCGCGTGACGCCACTTGTAGCACCAGCAGATCACCGTTATCGAACTACTGAGGTAGTCCATGTCTCCCGTATGAAACCCTTCAAGCGACGTTCTTTGTCCCCTTGACTTGCCGCGGCCATGCTGGCCGCTTTCACGTGGGGGGAATTAGTGTGGGCATTTAGTATACCGATCCTCTTCATCTGTACATTATCATCATTATCATGTGTTGCTCATGCATCCTCATCGTTGTCACGTAGCATCATCATCTTGGTTCGTTCATCTCAGCTGTCGGCTGCCGGTTCCTCGGGCCTAATAAAGGTCTTCCAAACCAAGACTTCATAATATTACCTTCACCTCAATTAATTATTTTCCAGAGTTTAAAAACACGTTGTACGGACTTATATGTGCTAAGAATAGTAATTTTTAAAACGAAACATATTTGCTAGTTGTAACTTGCACCCTACCGCTAACAAGTCTTGCAACTGTTTAATGTTACTTCCACTTCACTTTGAATCAAACAAGTGACGTTTACACATGCCTAGTTCCAATTCTTGAAAATATTGTGCAAGTTAGTTGGGTCATGACAAAAATGCTAATTTTTCTTAATAATGTGGGATATATACTATTCCAACAATTCAATTTGACATTATTTGACCAAATCGCTATTTGATTTGAATGCTTCGAACCTCAAAACTATTCGCCCATCCTTAAAAATTAGGTTTAGAAAAATGCCTACCCAATGAAGCCAGAATCTTCAAGCTTAGCAGAGGTGTGGCCACCTTCAGTGTCTTCTGTAAGCGATCGCAGTACATTGGTGAGCACCAAGATAGCCTGCTTCCTGTGCCTGGCAGACTCTTCTATTCTGTTACGTAGAGCATCCATCAACATTATTATATCACCTGTTGAAAACGAATACAGAAAAGCACTGGAAACATGAGTTGTTCTTTGGGTCGAAACTAGAACAAAAATTCTGAACGCACAAAAGCAACAAAAAAAAGCACTCCTTCAGTAAAGTTTAACAATGCTTCAGAAGGCCAGTCTTATACCAAATTTATTCGACATGAATGAAAAATGACAGTAATGACTCAGTATAGTGTGACTTTGAATTAATAGTATGTATTAAAACTGAAGTGTTTTTAACTAACAAAAAATGTTTGCAAACACCATAAACAAATGCGAAGGTAGTGACTGACTGGACAGATTTCATAGGCCTTCAAGGAAAATATTCTCTGAAAATAGGAACACAATAACAAACACAGTTTTAACAGCAAACCAGATTTCACGTGGACTAGACATAACTTTTGATTGATTGACAATCTCATAAAGAGAGGTGTTGGGCAAACACTTACCATAGGTTCCCAGCAGCTTGCAAACAACCGTGAATTCTCTATATATGTTCATATTTGTGAAATGCATGAACTGATTACGGCAACAATTAATTGCCGGATTGACTGCATCCTGAAAATCTGGAAGGAGAAAGCACCATGTTATATCTTAAAAAGATAGCGGTATGAAGTGATCAAGTACAGTCACAAAGATGTGCATGCACACAAAACTAAAATAGGTGTGAATATCCGAGCGCTTAGAATATTTGAAGCAATGTTACAGAATACTATTATTGCACGGCGCCTGCGATCACTCTACAAGATTTTCCTTGTCTGAAATGGTCACTTCAAACAGGCAACACTTTTCAAACATTCCCAAAAATTCACATTTATTTCAAATGGTCACTACAAAGGAGCCCTGCAGCACTTTTAGAACATACCAAGAATTCACAGCAGATCAGTTGGCGGGTCCCGTTTCGAACATGCAAGACAAATATGGCACTGCACGGGGCACGAAATTTGTGCTTTCATTTTACGGACAGACAAAAATGGCTCGCTCTTCTTTCAACAAACTCAAATGGACACAGCCAATGGCCGATTTTGTGATGGCGAACGCATTCCTCGGTAAAGTTTACATTGGTAGATTGAAGTTCAATAAACAACAGGTACAAGTGTATCACACTTCGGAAATGCCAAAGTGAATCCTCTTAGTGTTTCCTGCCCTGATCAATGACTGTCTGCTTACTTGGTTTCTTCCCATGTCCATATGAGATGGCATGTGGCTTAGTAAAGCCCGGGCTTATTTCTAATTCTACAGAGCCAAGTGGGTTGCTTGCCTCACACTAAACACACTACCACAGAACTTACCAATCCATATCGTCAGTTCCAAAAATGCTGGCCAGTGCAAGCTCTCTCTTTTACGTGTCTCGCAAGCATGACTTTTCGGAAAACATTGCTTAGTACTTAGCTTATTGAAGCTGCTTCAAATTACACTATCAGGGTTTTGCTACAACTTATCTGTCGGTCAACCTGATGCTCTAGAACACTAGTGAGCACCAGGTGCTCACAGAGCCTGATCATACTTTGGAACAACCGTAGCACAGTTGCACCAGAAGTGCTTGGGTGCTGCATACACAGTTATAGTGAGGATAGTGAGGCAGTAGTCTTACAATAATTTTTGATTATGCGAGTACTGTAGCTTTTCTGTATATTTTCAAAATCAGGTCAAGGATGTTTATGGGGAGATTCATCGCCAATCAGGAAAACAGGTAAAAATCGGGAGTCTGTGTTTTGTTTATCATGTGGCTGAAAAAAGGATTGGGCTCAGTCAGTTTATTAGCCGCACTTTGAGCTGAAGTACACATATTGGGTGTCACACTAGAAGACGTTTATGGCATTCATTAGACAGTGAATGAATCTCATTTGGCTTTTGCATGTTCCCATCTCACAAGAATATCCATTTTTTTGCTCATGCCTGCTAAATTCTTTGATGCATACCTAGGGAGGTTGCCTGTTCGGCCAGCAGATTCAATTTCCCTGTGTCAAACTCGGTCACTAGGAAAAGGATGCCAAACAACCTCTGGCAGACAGTCGGCGACATAAGTATCTTGGCTATTTTCGTTCCTGCATTGGTACAAAGATGGGTTAGAATAATGCAAACTAAAGAGAGAATGCTGCTATATATGTCCCGCTTGAAGACAATGCCACTCATTCTCAATGCATACCAGACACATAAAACTATGCTCACGAAATATTCTCAGGTAGCCACACAGCAACTTGACCAAATTCAGTTTTTCATCCTCACCTGCAATAAAAGAACAAAATTGATACCTCCTGCTTTTTGTCAGCTTGCACAAGAAGCAGTATTGATTGATGTGTGGGGTTTAACCTCCCAAAACCACTAAGAAGTAATATCATGTGAAGCTGAATGCTGCACAGTAGAACCCCATGGCAGGAGCTAGCAATACAGCACAACACTGCTAGTAGCAGATGTGTCAATGGTGAAGTTCATTTTAATGAAAGCAAGCTAATCTTACCATCGTAATACTGTGAACTTAGAGCTTATAAATGTAAAATCAGAGATTCACACGCACTCAAGGTAAACAGACCATGTTGTACTGCAAATCCTAGAAGCCATGATGTAGGATTTGCATCAAGTCCACTAATTATGATGTCAGTAATATTTTTCCTAAGGTGCTATTCCAAGTGCTATTTTAATGAGTCAGACAATTATTATTAGCCCTGAAGCTTCAATAGCAGTGCTTCAATCATACATACTAATACATTACAGTATTGTTAACTGTCAAGTTGTAGTGACTATAACCTTTACGGGACAATAACAACTTGCCCTGAATGGCACTAAACTAAAAAAAAGGTTTAATGCAATCATGAGTGCAAATATTACCGTAAACTTGACTAATCTCTGTAAAGAATGCCGCATCTAATAACCACTACACTTGCAAATTTTTGCATGGATCCAGCTCAATTTTAGTGGGCCTAAGTAATAGTTTGAAACACATTAACCAAAATTTAATTACAGTTTAGCAACAAACTACATGAGTTAGTGCATGTATATTATGCTAGAAATAGAAAATTACACTAGTAAATGTGAAGAGGAAACAAGTAAGTGAGCTGAACTTACTTCCCATACGAAATACCCGTGGAAACTTTCCCAGAGTTCTGTGAAAGTCTTCTTCGAGAATCTCAGTCAACGATAATGAGTCGAGAGCCATCATCTGACTTGATACCTCATCAAGAACTGAGCGACTTTGAATGGAGACTCCTTCACTGTCATCAGCACTCAATGCCAGTACCATCTGGAGGATTGTAGGGGCTAGAACTTCCAGTGATCTACACAAAATATAAAAGTCAAGACAAGCAGCAATTTCCCAATACAAGATGAAAGGGCCTAAATGTCATTGTTACTCAGGCATTACAGATGAGAAAAAGAACTAATTGTTACAAGAGCAACTTCGTCCCAACGGCATCAGCGGCTTTCTTTGTGTCTTGGTAAAGAATAAGGAGAACTATTATGCAATCCACATAATTCTGTTAAATTGAATACTGAACACAATATCGTGACATTCCAAACCTTGAGAATATTGAAAACTTGTCAGAGTCGGTTTTCCCCCCACATACGAAGGAGAGCCATACTGCATGCTGCATACCTGCTGCATCGCAAGAGGAGTGTGCGTGCCCACTCCAAAGCCGCCAGTTTCACACGATCCTCGCATGTTGCAAGGCTAGGCAACACCTTGTCTACAAGAATGCATAATTTCTCCGCAGTTGACTTGGCCCACTTTTCATTTCTGCATACAACAGGCATTTTTGTTTCTGCAGGGAAAAAAAAAAGGGGGGTGTCGAGGGATATCTAAGGCTAGCTAAAGACCAATAAATGACACATTGCAATTCTAAAAGAGTCAGAACTTGAATTTTGCGAGTTTCTGTTGAAATTGTTACATCATGTCAAAGTCCTTTATGTCGCACTGATTGTGGTGATGAAAGTATGGCATAAAATTTGAAAACTTGGGAATCTGGACTTCATTTTGTTAATGTACGAAGCTTTCACAGCTAAATTAGAAAGCAAATAATATTTTTAAAGGATAATTTGTGAGTCTAGGATCATAGTTGAGTATTTCTTTTTAGTATTACTTTAGTATAATTTGTTAGAACAGGAGAGGTGCTGACAGCATTATCATTGAAGGCTGCGGCCCACAGTAATTCGTCAGAAAACATGTGGCAGACAACTACATCATCGGACTGCAATTGAATGAAAGTAATGTTGCGCTTTATTTTTTTGTGTGTGGGTGTTTTCAAAGTATGCGATCCCCGTGATATATTTTTCTTTTCGTTTTACGTCTTCAAACGAATTATGTTTTATTTGTATAATATTTTTTGCTCACTTCCACTTTTCTGCTGTTTTGTTTATTTGTTAATAAATTATTGGACATAGCACCCCACTACAGAAAGCTAGGAAGACATCACTTGATGTTCTTTAGATGATCAGTAAAACTTTCAGTGCATAAAATGCAAAACTCGTTACACTTCACTTAAAAGTTAGAAGCACGTGTTGAAGAAGTTAAGAAGAGGAGCAGTCATAAAATTTTCACTGTGGGATTTTAGCAGTGTGCATAATTAAAACCATGCTATGATAAGATTAACCACTAACAATGATAAGACAACAGAGTTTGCTAGCCACTACCTATGCTTCATAATTAGGTAATTAAACGGATACTAAAGTGAAACAATGAATGCACTTGGATTGACCAACCTTACTTTAAGAACTCTAATATTGTTAATATTATTGCCATACATTTATTAATAGAAGAGAAAATCAAGGTCAAAGTTTTACTTTTGAAGTTCACCTTTAAATTACCACACATTAAGTCACAATTTTCAAAGTGTATTTTTCGTATTTTGATGACACTGACTCAACAACAAAAAAATTAGACCATCCAAACCACCGGGGAAGAAAGGAAAAAGCAGCATAATGACGCTCTTTCCTTTCGCTTATTCTTCCCTGTGGTTTGTGTCGTCTAAATATCTGGTAGTATCGACCAACTCTCCCAAGCCAAGAATAACTCTAACCACAGTTAGCGCTTGCGGTCCACCCGCAAGAAATCCGAAATGATGTGTGGCCCCCCAAGGCCCGCAAAGCTCCTATGCGGTGACTTAAGCGTGCGTCAGCATTCGCGTGGGACAAACACTATTCCAAAAATCATATGGCACTCGTACGCCAACGCTACCCCGGCAACACTCAATAACTTAGCCCATGCTATTTAAAGCAATAAATTTACATGACCACTCACTCTGTTTTGCTTCTTCATCATCTGGGCATAAAGCCTCCAAATATGCGTCCCCAAGACACATGTGGATAACATGGCCCCAAGTTTTGAAAGCGACAGCCGATACTTTCTGAAAGCAAAACAAATTAATTTGGTCAAGCTGATTACATTGTTATGGCTTGAAAAAAGCACACCTGACTCCTGTTTTCAGCATCAAGAATGACGCGTGTCAGTGCAATAGATATTCCCGGGAAGAAGCCTGCAAATGCATTTCCAGCTTTTTCAAACAGCGCAGCACTCTTGAAGACGTCTGAAATACAAGACAATGTATCACTACGAGTTCAATAAAACTGCACAGTAGAAACAACACTTCAGTACATTTTGTACAAAACAGCAATTTAATTCTTCATACACGCTTTGATGTATGCTTGATATGTGATGTGTGTTTATTGGTTTTACCTGCTGAGGACAGTTGTACATACTCCCAGTTCTAGCCTTCGAAACGGTGGATTCGACATGTGGTAGTCAGTTTCATCACAAGATTGTATTTAATGACTATCGTTGACATTACAAATGTTTTGCCAAAGAGTCACGGCATAGCAATTCATGTCATGAAACCTTGATAAACAACATTATTCATCAGATGCTAGCATTTTGTTTTCATAGATTGAACAAATGAATTGTTCACTTATTAATAATGAATGGTGTTAGAATGCAGTGCCTTTTATTGAATAGGTGCAGACATACAAATATAAATAAAAATACATAATTAATTTTACATATTTATCATATCTCATAGAAATGTCATATGCTGCTCTTCTGATCATGATTGAGCTCCATCAAAATTCAAAATCTTATTGATGATCTAGTAATTGATGTAAGCTACAGAAAGGAACCAATCATGAGTGCAAAAGTTTGAGTGATCTGGCTCAATTGCTAAGTGCCTTCGATGTGAAAGCATCATATTAGGTGCAGACACAAGTAGGAAATGATGGAATACATGGTCAGGTCACATGCAATGGTAGACTCGAAGAAGTGACAATCCATAACCGGGGGTTTCACGTAAGGAAGCCGCAATATGATTATGAGAAATGACATAGTGAAGGGCTCCAGAAAATTGGACCATCCGCTGTTCTTTAATGTGTAATGACATCACACAGTGCATGAGCCTTACCATTTTGCCTCCATTGAAATGCAACCACCCGGATCGAACCCGCGACCTTTGGGTCAGCTGTCGAGTACCATAGCCACTGTTCCGCTGAGACGGACACATTGTCAAGACGATTTGATTCATATGCAAGAGGTAAGAAAAATTACTTTTATATTTTATCCTGGCACATGGAAGATACCTATGTTTTGGTGGCTGCTGTACGGTATGCGAATTAAAGGTTGAATGAAATAGTTATCTGAAGCTAAAAAATATAAAAACATGTGAAAAAAATTCTACTCAACTCTTGGCAATAAAGATTCGTATTAATGTCTCTTTCACATGTGTGTGATTAAGTTACCAAGATTTGTAACTTCTAGCTATACTGTACATGGTTTTGGGACATTAAATGCCAAGAATAATGATTAATTATTTGTAGCTTTCAGCCCGAATGATTGCTATTATTGTAAGAGATGTATACATGGTTGTAGCTGCCTCTCAAAGCAAAAATGGAAAAATTATTAGCCGTTAGAAGGATGGGCTAAGAAACCTGGTATGTGCTGTATGCAACATAAACAAGGCATACCATTTACAGTGTTGCAGGCAAGAGTGCCCAAGCATTCCATGGCGGCAATCTGCAATTTTCTAGTTTCTTTCCTTTTCCGCAAGCAAAAGAAGAATGGTGACAGCATGGCTCAGGCATAACCGGAAGTCCAAACTGTACATGTGCAGCAGCACTCTGAGCAAAAGACAGTTAGATTAGGGTGAAGATTGCGATTGATAGTCTAAGAGCAAAATTATAATCGCTCACCGTGGTAGTGCGCAGTTCATAAGGCTTTTTAGTGCATTGCAGACTTCAAGCTTCACTTCTTCACTTGTGGATGAAACTACAATAGCGGAAGAGTGTCTTTGAGGAGCAGCACCACTTAAAGGAAATAATAAAAACACACAATGTCCCTTGCAAAATTACCTTGGAGGTTCTCTTTGACAGTGCTGACAACGAACAACAATTGAAGGAAAATATCCGAAAACAGTGATTCATCGTTCACTCTGGTTTTTTCAAGCACAACACGGATAGATGCAACAGTTTCAGCAACTAATGTTTCCCTCCTGGAAAATACAAAATATGCAATACTTCCGCTGTCACTTGTCTGCAGATAAAACGATACTCCCGCTTCACTGAACTCCATGCAACGCGAAACAGGAGCATCAGCGCTAGTGTCGTCTGAATAAGTACAATTTATTGCGTACCGGTCATTTTTGAGCAGCAGGCGAGCACAATATATTAAGATGGATTCATATCAACTCGCTTAACAATGTGATGTGTTAAGCGAGTTGACACATCACATTGTGAAGATGCAATGTGATGTGTGTAAATCAGTACAAACGAGTTTTTCAACAAGTGACGAACTCTGTGTAAGCTAGATGATTTCATGTTGTCTGCGTGATCACACGGCTTTTCTAGACGAGCCTTTCAGTGACCCCTTTTGGCTACCAGATCTAATGTGTATGAATCGTATGAATCAGTACAAACGAGCTCTTTGACCCTTAAACACTCCGAGTACAAGCTAGATCTGTTTATATTGTCCTTATGCGATCATGCGTAGTGCGCGTCATTTCTGAACAAAGATTTCTTGTTGACTTCTTGAAGCTTTATAAAATGCGTCACGGTATAAGCAGTAAGCTCACTTTTCTTTCTTCAGCACCAACATGAGAGGCATGAGGAAGGTACTCATGAAGCTCCTGACAAGCATCGTCAGTCAGCTGCTCAAGAGCGCGCCGTAGAATCACAGCGCTTTCTTTGGACGTGTCTTTCAAGAATCGCACACACAAGGGTTTCACTTCGCGAAACGCGTCAGACGCGTCGAGTGTACGAAGCATTTCTGTTATTTTGCAAACGGCGGCGGCGGAGACATCACATCACTTGAGTGTTACGCACAGACGAGTTGACAGCACGCGCCGTAAACGCGCCATGGCCGTGAACGACTTGTGACTGGTATCGCCGCTACGAGCGTTAGCGCAGCATGCCACCCACGTGAAGTTGCCATCATCTATCCGTCCAATGCTCCGTGCCACACATCATCGTTGTTGTGGCTAGATGGCGCGTCGGGAATTCTCGAGGGCAGCAGCACCCCTTGAGTGGCTCTCCGCTATCTCACAGTAATGCTGCTTTTTTACGCGCTACTCTGCTTAATTACGTGTAGTTGTGTTTCTTGTGCACTCGTGAACCCATACGAAACACTTGGTGTGCCCCGCACAGCCAGCGCTGCTGATATCAAACGTGCATACAAGCGACTGGCGAGAGAATGGTGAGCTGATTTGTATGTGCTGGGAGGTAACCGGTCGTATAATCATGCTTGTTTTCCTCGTAGAGATGCCTGGCGCTTTCCATTGTCCTAGTAGCGGCTGTTTGAGTGTCTGCGGTAGTACAGAATCTTTAGAATTTGCACACCGCGTCGTGTATAACAATTCTGAAATGAATGATATCCGTAGCGCCTGAACTGAAACTTGTAGGTAATGGTTTCCGATCTGCCTAATCATTGAACATCGGATTACCAGCTGTTATTAATGAAGTACACGTCTAGATTGTATTCGTAATAATATCGGTAAACGCGGCAAAACCGTTTCCTGTCGTTGCTGAAATGTACCCTCTAACGAGCAGAACAAACGAGCAGCAGTGCTTTCGTCTTCCGATAAGTAGGAGTGGTTATACGATATTGGTGCCGTCGGCGTCGCACCTGATGTGTTCTACATTTTGCAGGCATCCTGACAAAAACAAAGACCCTGTGGCATCTGAGAAGTTCATAGAGATCACCAAAGCTTACGAGGTGAGGCGGTGTGTTACTACCTAGACACGATACCAAGTACCTCGATCCTGCAGTCGCCGATGCTTAATCGATTGGATTTTTTTGCTTCAGAAATTGCACTAGACAAAAAATATTCCGATTGTGGTCTGCCTCCTGTGAGGCAATTGCTATATGAATCCAGTTGTGCATTCATGCTTGCAGTTTAGTTTCGGTTAACTCAGAAAGGTCTTCTGAGCTACACAGACTTACTATGAGTGACCTCGGCTTAGTGTTACTAGGACCCAAGTTTCAGGTAACACTACTTAACATGCAAAATGTTTGCAAATGCAGTTGCAATTTGTGTGTAATTCATATAGGCCTCCCATGGCAGCTCTCTTATTGTTGAAGTACTGTTCGCTATTTGAAGGTATCTTTTATTCAATTTAGAACTGCCATGCAAGAAACCAAGAGCTGTTTCATTTTAATTGCAGCTGCTCACTGATCCTGAAAGGAAAGAAAATTTTGACAAGTATGGCCAAACGGAAGACACGCCAAACTTCCGAAGGCAACCCGACTACAGTCAATTCAACAGATTTGACTTTGATCCTTTTGAATCTACAGTGTTTTCTAAGGGAAACATGAAGTTTAAATTTAGTTTTAACCAAGGCTCTGTATTCCACAAGGCCACCATCACACTCAAGTAAGTTGAGAATTCTGTTTTTATTTTTTTTTTAAGTAGTGGCCAGAGAACAACAAAAATCATGCTCTTAAACCTTCTGAAATCCAGATGCAATTTGGGACATAACAAGTTCACAAAGTCAAGTCGTCATTACTCAGTGGGACATAATGAATGGGACAAACCAATTTTTAAATGAAACATCTCTGTTTAAATAAAATAGAACATGTTCCACATAACTGGAGAGCATGGCCATCCCGTTGGATTTCTTGTTGTGAAAGCTGTTTTTTTAGCCAACACAAAAAGGTGAATATTAAACGGCACTGATAGGCTGGGTGTCTTAAAGCTGCCTGCTGGATTTTTGTGCCGACTTGCATTCGTATTGCCCTTCACTAGCACTTTTTGTTGCCCTTGACGATACAGTGCTTGAGGCCAAACTGATGTCAATTAAAAAAAAAAAAAAAAGACTGCACCAGTGTTCTCGAATATCTTTTGTCTAGTTCGGCATGCGGGGACTTTATATACTTATTTTATGCAATAGTGTCCATGCTAATTTTCATAGACTTAACGAGGTTCCCAATTTGATACCACAGGACTGAGGAGGCTAATGGTGAGTTTTTAACAAACAAGTAGTTGCTGATGAGTCCTATGGGAACATTGTGCTGTGAAATCTCACTTTTGTGCTGATGTGGGCCTGAAATAAGTGCGATTTGGCAATTGGAGTTATGAACATTTAAAATTTTCTTAATATAATATCAACTATGATAAGCAATTGCTTTCTGTTGTTTTTAATGTCTGACTGGCTTTTCATTTTTGTTGGTTTGCTCTGCGTGAAGTTGCTTAGAATCCTGTATCCTCTTAGATCATCTATTAGAATGTTGCTGTCGATAATTAGTAACAAGCATCTGTAAACAGCATAACCTAACATTCTGTTTTTTCTTTTTCAGGGCTTATGAAAATAGGGTGATCCCTGACAGTAACGTCAAGCCATACCTGATTCTCTTTTATGGAGACCTTTGCTTTCCATGTCTTCATGTAGAGCCAATATGGCAGCGAATAGTTCAAGAAATGGAGCCTTTAGGTATGTGCCGTCATTTTTTTTTTCTCCATGTGAGTGTGTTTGTGACACTCTTGTCGGCTCGTTGTTTTGCCTCTCCAGTATGTGCATCATTGTTTTGTGAAAATTCAGTTAACCTTGTTAGATTTGGATGTTTGCAAAACACATTTAACCACTATGGCAGAATGGCCCTGGTCCATGAGAGGCTTTGTGGATGGGTTTCTTCGTAGTACAGAAATAGTGCTGCTTCAGCTAACTCTGTGTTGATGTCTTTGACTTGGAAGCGTAACTTATATGATACATAAATGCATCATGACATAAATGCATCAGGCAGGTTCGACTGTGTACATTTTGAGGTTGCAGGAACATGTCTGAAGACCATATGTCCTGGTCATTGTTTTGTAGTAGGTGCAATGCTCTCTTTCCTGTTTTTGTGGCTTTTTTTTCTGTAATTATTTTTATTCTTTTTAATGCATAAAATTGTGGATGCTGCTAATAAATAATGTACAAAATCAAGCTATCTAAAACACGGGTGGATTATTCTGCTAGTTCTTATACCGTAAGTTCAGGCTATACTGATGCACCAGAACAAGAAATACCTTCAAAAAGCATTTTTTCTTTTTTTGTGGAGCATTAAGAGGTTGTCTTGCGAATGTAAATATCCAACAGGAGATGTGGAGGTACATTGAAAGAGTGACTAATTCGGGTTTCTGTTAAGTTGTTTTTGTATCTATGAAATGTGGCTCCACATCTCTGCATGGCAGTCAACACTCCTAGTACACAACGAAGAGAGTATAGCTAGACACTGTGAACGTGTGGTTTACCTTTTCAAAATACAACAAATTACGCGTGTAATAATTCAGAAGATGACTTATAACACAATAGTGTTGAAAAGTTCGTTTTGCAGGAATTCGATGTTGGCATCGTTGCTTGTGAGCGAAAAATCATCCTCATTGTGTGACTGAAAAATTGAGCATCTTTGCATCAATCGAAAAATTACGAAAGATGCGAAATAAACTAAATAATAAAACATTCTGGGTCTGAGTGGAGATCGAACCTGGGTCGTTTGCGTGGCAAGTGGGTGTTCTATCACACAGCCACGCCTCTGCTTGTGAATAAAGTGAAAGTAACTCCCTCTGCTTGGAAATGCCGTGAAAGTAACTTTCATGCTTTACAAACACACGCGTCCTGTATACATGCTTCACTATACAACATGAAATATTGCTGTACTAATGCGTAGTACAAGCATACATTTCCATTGGATTTCAAAACATGGTATTTGCAATGCACCCTTAAGGCCTTGTAGTAGGTGAATAGCAAATATTAAAAGATGCCATACAGTAAGTGTTTGAAGTACGCACTAGGAACAGAATGTCGCAATCGAGTTCAACTATTAAAGATGAAGCTTAAGGGTCCCCCAATTTTTTTTTTCTCTGCTATGTGACAAATTTATTCTGCAGTCAAAGTGCTGAAGCCAATAGCAAAGAATCTTACCATGTGCATTTTCCTTTGACTAGTACAATCATGGTGCACATGGTATCTCTGAAATGCTTGATAGCAAAGTTAGTGCGCTGCATTTTGGTGCTATTGATATTTCAACATACAAGGCTTCTGTTCTTGTAAGGGGGCCTTAATGTAGCTGACAGCCTTGCCTACTGGTGCAAAGAAACTTGCTCATTTTTGTGTTGTACAACAGAAGATACCATACTGAATGACATGGCGAATGCCATTGGATTTAAGGAAGCCAACAGCAATGAAATTTCACTTTGGCAGCAGTGGTTGTAAATAATTAGTATATACTATTGAAGCAAACTTGGAAAGGCTGCAGAACTTGTAATTGTTGAATTTTTCTTTCATTGGCACCCTCTTCAGTAGAATCTAGTGAGTTTATGCTGGGGAAGCTGGTGTGGTTCTGGGTTCTGCATGATTGTGTGCCAAAGCAGTAATAACACACTTCTTTAGTTTAAACATCTATAACATCTATTTCTGCAAACATTTATGCACTTGTCGATATATATTTGATACAAAATCTGGCATAGAGGATGCTCTCATTATGCAGTCTGAGAATAGATTTCTTGATGTGGCCCGAACCTCTCTGCTCTTAACCCTTCTCTTCACTCCGATGAGTATGTGACGCTATGATGAATGGCAGACGTGGCCTGGCTCATACGCCATGTTTATTCCAAAAGCACTTCTTCCTCATCTACTTCTACCAACGATCGTTACCTTCTTACGTTACAGGATTCCCCCTCCCCCCGAAAGAATGCTCGCGTTACATATTACAATACATGATGAACAAGCAATCCTGTAACACAAAAAAAATGTCTAAATGGGTTGTAGTTCCACATCACATTGAAGTTCCGTAAGATCGCACAGACTTCACAGGAGAGGGCAGCAATCCAGGGTTATCAAGTACGGCTCTGGTGGGCGAGGCTGGCTGTTACGCTCTGGACGACATAAGCATGTTTTGGGCGTGGAAACCGACGGAAACGCAGCCAGCGTTCTTTTGAGGAATGAACGCTGGAATGCCTTTCAAAATCGACAGTTTTGTTGGCATCGCATTTTTTGTCGTGAGTGACACAAATGCGGTGCATGCAGTTTGCATGCCCGTTGATCGTGGCTGATTGGGCGCTGCTTGTGTTCCTGCAGAGTACAAGCGCTATGACGCTATGATGAATGAGAGACGTGCCCTGGCTCATACCCCATATTTATTCCATTCTCACTTCTTCCTCCTCTGCCTCTACTACTAACTCCTAACCATCGCTACCTTCTTACGTTACATGATTCCCCCTCCCCCCGAAAGAAGTCGCGTCAGACGAACATAAATGAAAACTGAACATGCACGGCTTAGAACTGAACACTGTCAAAAAGAGAAGATCATTCCAAGTCCGAGGAAGTTTCCGTTACCACACTATAGCTTCACAGGAGAGGACAGCAATCCGGGGTATCAAGTACAGCTCTGGAGGGCGAGGCTGGCTGTTGCGCTCTGGACAACATAAGCATGCTTTGAGCGTGAACTCAGATGGAAACACAGCCGGTATTCTTGCGATGAATGAACGTGGTGTGATGGCCTTGAAGCATTGGCTGGATGATTTGCGCAGGTGTCGTGCTATTTGTCTTGATTGGAACCCATGCGTCGCCACCCGTTTGCGTGCTTGTTGACCGAGGCTAGTGCGGTGATTTCTGCGTCCTTGCGGAATACAGGGTATGGTTTGGCGCCTTTCTCGACGTTGTATGTCGTGTTGCCTGAGTCTTGATCTCGACTGGAGAAAGTTTACTCGACGTCCCTTGGGAAAATATCCTGGATTCGATGCTTTCTTTGTTTCGAGCGAGAAATCTTGAATATGTCGTTGGCTTGGTTGACAAGTTTGTAAACGGCTTTCCATAAACCGCGTGTGTTCTTCCGAAGATGATTCCATTCGTTGTCGTCCTTGTTCGTATAGACCTTGGAATCTCTGTTGTTCTTGGACTTGCTGGCATTGATGATGTTGCTGCGAAAAGACCTGAGGTGGCAGCCCTTTTTCACCATGACACTGACTTTCTGGGCAATTGAATGTGGTGTCGAGTGGGCAGGTAGTAGTCTCTAGGCTGTTGTGCTGCATTTCGGGTAATGAAGGTAATGCTTCAGGGTTGACAGATATATCATCAGGGGCTTCTTCTTCGCTGTTCGCTGCGAGTGGTTCTTGCTCCTGAATCTGGATGGTAGGTTCAGGGCTTGGCTGAGTATTCTCCGAGCTCCGCAGCTCTATCCCGACCATTGTGAGCGTTCTAGATGTGAGGTGGGCGTTGTGAGCGACGAAAGAGCCAAGTGGCGGAAAACCAGGAGGTAGCCCAACTGTGCTAGATGGAAAATAAGCTGATCCAATGTGTGAAGAATGATTTTCACTCTTTGAGTCGTCATAGCGTTGTTCGGCATTTTCCTCATGTGTCAGCTGGTCTACCATGAACAAGGCGTCCTTATGACACGAATAGTGACCGTTAGGAGCCTTTGAAGAGCTGCGTCGTAGAAAACCAGGTGGTGGACCATGTATGCGAGACGACGCATGAAAGGCATCAGTAGGGTGAGCGACGTCTCGTGTCGTATGTTGAAGCGATGACTTCGGAAATGCTGACTTTCGCGCAGAAGGGATGCGCGCTTGATGGTTAGGTTTTTCCCAACATACGCATGGCCTTCTGTAAGTAAACTCATGCGCCACTTCGTCTTAAGGCAGTTGTCGATTCGCGCTGGGCTTTCGAATGATTGAGGACTGCTTAAGGAATTGACGATAGGGTGCTGTTGTCTCTAGATGGTTGGCAATGAGTAGGTCTTGGTCACAGTCATTAAAACGGGTAATCATCTCCTCTTTGATTTTTCGCCATGATTCGTCATTTTCAAAGATGTGGGTGAGGTAAAACTTAAATGCCTCACCGGAGATGTAGTCAGTGAAGTTGATGATCATCTCCTGTTCCGACCAAGATGCAGCGGCAGCGTGGAGCTCGAATAGGTTAAACCAGTCCTGTACGGGTCCGTCGTCCGCTGATCCGGTGTACTTGGGGATGTCAAGGTCGTCTGATGGTGCTGTCATGATGCTGGTCTTGGTGTAGAGTTGGGATGTACTTTTGTGGTCCACGTTCGGTCACTGCGTCTTGCTGAGACGTTCAAAGATGGTGGCCGGTTGATGAAGTGGCCGCCAGGTCTTCATCCTGTCGACTTGTGTGACGCTATGATGAATGAGAGACGTGCCCTGGCTCATACCCCATATTTATTCCATTCTCACTTCTTCCTCCTCTGCCTCTACTACTAACTCCTAACCATCGCTACCTTCTTACGTTACAAGTATTGTCATCATGAGATTTTAGTACCAAAACAAGTGAGGACCTGTCATGATAAAAAGGGGGAGTGAGGCAGATAGAGCCAACGATGACAACAGATGTCATAGCTATGTTTTTCGGCGCAAGATGTTCATACTTGTCCATGTTGTCCCGGTTGTGTCTCAACTTTCATTCTGTTACCATCTTTCATTGTATTGCCATGCAGTGAAGCTATATTTGAGTTATCCTTTTTGACATAATTATTGAAATTCAGGAACCCATTTAATTGAAAGAATGACACTGCATTACTCTGACAAAAAAAAAAAAGCCTTACAAATTGACGAAAAACAATATTTGCGGTAGATTTGGTACAATATTTTTTTTTCTATGGTAGAGGAGAGGTTAACTAACTGCTTATGTGGGGGCTCAGAAAACATGTCATCAAACGGCATTATGTGTACTAACAAACTGGAAAAATTCACGTCTGGGTGAGTACTGGTGCTTTGTGTTATGATGTGCTGAGGCATAAGCTGCACCTTGTCCTGCTTTACTACGCGTTTTTAAACTGAAGTTACCTCAAATCATAGGCTGGCGTAAGGACAGGCTGTTTCAGTCACGCTGGAACATTTTTGGTGCAGTGTACTTCCAAGATTTCGCCTGTGTCCTCCGAGACACCTGGCTTAATGTACCGACGTGAAAGCAAGTTTTATTCTTACTGGTACAGAACCACAAATAAAAACTTGAAAGCCATGTACCTAAAAGCCACAATATTAAGCCACAATATTTTGTCCAATAGGTTAAACTATTATTAATTTGTTATGTGAAATTCTGGGATTAAAATCATGCTTTTACCATTGTACATCAAGAATTTATACCGGCTGTTTGCTTGGTGTCACCAGATTTCAAGAGAATCGTGTCTATTTTAGCAGTTGTTTGAATGTGAATGCCCGCCCACTCCCTCCTTCCTTTTTTTTTTCAGTTAGCTGTAATAAAGGATTATCAGTTATTGTGAAAAATATCAGTTTTAAGTTTCTTCTTAATTTTCTCTTTTTTGTTGTCAATTCTACAGTTTAGTTGCTGCCGTGCCTGTGAGCAGACTCATGTTATGTCCCAAATATGCTGTTTTTATTTTGCAGAATTTATATTTTTATAGAAAGTGAATTTAGGTAGATATGTGAGGTTGAGTTGCAATTTGATTTTAAGGGCTGTATGATGGTTACTTGATTGTACAGCTTGCCTATCTTGTCCTGTCACTGCTGCATTCTTTGATGGAGCGTGAAGCATCGTGAAGTCAAGATTCGTGTATTCCAGCTGCCTTTTTTCCCAAACTGCTGCAGGTGTAGGTTTTGCTACTATTCATGCTCAACACGAATCTGGCTTAGCACATAAACTGGGTGTTGGCAGCCTGCCATATCTCATGGGCCTGGTGGAAGGGCGTGCCATTCACTACCGTCACGACCAGCTGAGCCTCGTGAATGCAATAGATTTCTGCCGCCGTCTGTTTCCCCGGGATACTGTGACTGTGCTGGAGGACATGTCATCATTCGATGGCTTCCTTTCAGGATGGTATGTTTACTTTTTTTTTCATTTCAGTTTTTAACATTTTTTATTTTATAAAGTCTAGCTTGACTATATTGATTTTTGATAAATCTAATTATCATTTATACTGTACCATTTTTGAAGCAACAATGCTTTAACTACAACCCTCTGGATCCCACGTTGCTGAAGTCCAGTATGCATGAGCACTGGAGTAGGTTTCGGGAGCGCACACCATGCTGTTTCTCTTCATAACTGACAATATTAGAATACTTGCAATATGAATACTTGAATTGATTAGTGTGTGCTTGTTTATGTCATCTTTGTGCATAAATAATGATATGCTGTGTGCAGGTATAAGTTAAAAACTTCAGTTACTACAATAGTTAAGTGATGACTATTCGCACTTTCCAGCACCTGTAGGTGGCACGAAGAGTGTTTCAATATGGCGGGTTGAGAGGTGATGGACACTTCCCGAAAGCATGTGCGTCTCGATAAGGCCGCTTTAAGGCTTCTGGTATCTCTAAGAGCTAAACACAGAAATGTATTGTCAAAGGAGAGGCAGCGTTTATCGCTGGTCACGTTTTGCAAACTCTGTACGATATGTGAGAATTCGTAGCGCTGGTGTAATCAAAGTGCCACACATGCGTTTATGGCGAAATGTGCGGTTCCTCCTGCCTGGCTTAGCTGCTAAACGATCGTTCAAAGTAGTCGAGTGACACGGACGCAGTGAAAGAGAGGTGACTTAGGAGATAGGAACGCTACACATGCGATTGCTCTTAGCTCGTAGCCGGTTTTTCGCCATATCGCAGCACGACTTTGATGCGCCCGCACCAACCTACCATCACCGTCTTTAGGATTCCTAAAAATTCCGCGCGGTGGCGCTAGCTGATCTGGAAAGTGCGAATAGGCGGGTAGTCGTTGTAATAGAGACTGTTCCACTAGGCGTCAACTGTGCCTGTGTCCATGTCAAAGTGTGCTATATCTGCGAAACGCCAGTAAAAATTGTACCAGCTCTCATGTATCACTACACAATAAGCACTACTTTTATGAAGACATAATTCACTTTGAATGTTATATCGATTCCTATGATGGAGAAATCAACCACTGTTTTTTGTTTTCTTTTCCAGTTTTTTAGTGTTTCTTTTCTTTATTTGTATTACTTTCTATTTTCCTTGCCATTTTTTCGAATATTTCTCTTTATATGTCTTGCTTGCTTGCTCTTTAAGTTTTTATGTGTGGTTTGTGTTATCGTATTTTCTGAGCCGTAGTAGTAATGTCCGAACTTAATATCATCAGAAGCTTGAAGGACAAGATGAAGAAGACTTCTCTTTGGCGTGAGTGTATGCTCAATGTTCCACAGTTGGTTATGCTATAGGAGGTTTTGCTCAAGCTATTATCATGAAAACACTGAAAGAACAAGAGGAGAAAGACTTGCATTAATATTATCATCAAGGCACTCAAGTTCTCTTTGGTGCAAGCGTGCGCTCAATATGCTATAGCTGGCCATGCTATATGTGGTTTTACCTGGGTTAGTCAAGTGACATCGACAGCATGTGATCACACCATATAACGACATATGACAGCTTTTCTCCCTAAAGTGCTCCACACTTAATAGTCTGGGCACTTCATACATTCACCATCAGCCAGTGCGAAGCACTCGAAGGAGTTGGATTTTTGTACAAGAAGCTGACTTTTTCTTTGAGGAAAGGCTTTTCATCATGCATTTGAGAATTCAGATGATGTGATTAAAAGGGTGTTGTGCAAAGTGACTAGAAACTACAGGTTACCATCAGATGTTTTCCCTTGCGATTCCTCATCGTTATGACTGTCAAGTGTGGTCACGTCTCCGCAATTTCTTGGTCTGTTTTTAATGTGGTGGCTGCCTTGAAATGGAACAACCTGCTGTTTTCTCCAAAGCTAGTGATAATCAACACTGTTGATAAAGAAGAAAAGTCTAATGTTACCGCTGTGAACAAACATTACTAGAACCCAATCCAGCTTCCCAGATCTGCTGAAAACGTTAGCCATGTGTCCGTTACGAGAACTAACATTGCAACTTTTGAGTCGTACTACTAACTACACTTTGCAGCCCTGTGACTTTAACTGTGGCTGCATCTCGTCTGTGTGTTTGTTGCTCCACTTTTGTGGAGTTCAGCAGAAGTTATTTTCAGATTTGAGTATTTGGAGCTGTAGCTGCTCTTAGAAATTGTGAAGCCAGGCTTGTGTTGAGCATGCAGTATGCATGTTTTGCTCCCGATTGTAAGAGAGGCCTCAGGTCGTCAGGTAAACACTATTTTTTTGCTGCCTAAAGGCCCAACTGAGTTAAAAGAGGGACAAAAACACCAGAAAGATGGAAGACTGTGAAAAATGTAGAATGTGTGATGTGCACTTTAAGAAGGGAGGCATATATTGTCACACCGTCAGTGGCAAAGATATACTGACATCACACGAAAAATGAAGGTGCCGTACCTCGTTTTTGTGGGCATAGCCAGTACACATTTTAAAACCGCAATATGATTTATATGCACCATATGCTATAGTTGAACGCACCTGTTAACAATACTCAGGAGCCTTGAAAATTCATTGTTATAATCTACAAGTGCTATAAACGGGTTACTCAAAAAAAATATCAGAATAGGGGGATGACAGGATGTTATGAGAAAACTATAATATCGGATGGGATATGCCAATAGACATCAGTGACAAGAATGACAAAGCTATCGATTTTTTTGGACATGGTTGAAAATTTGGATGCTGTCACGGTACCACCACAAGCCTCGTAAAGCAAAATTACAACCTCTGAAGTTTCGGATGCTGGAGCTCTTCGAAGTCTCAACTTTTTACTCAAATTGTATGTTTTAACAGAAACCCCAGTACTCCTGTGCTGTAATTTATTTCATAAGTCACTTTTTTCGCAATGCCACAATACTATGTGGTGAGGCATACCACAAATCTGAAGAGGTGCTGTGGTATGTTGCAATTGTAGATGGGAGGTACAGCAGGTTGAATTTCTCGTTTTTTTTTCCTTTAAAGATTTTGCATTTTATTACTTTTTGGCAATGACACCCTACAGCCAGAATTTGTTGTTATAAACACACAAAAGTTGCTGGGGGAGTGAGTGAGCGAAAACATTTATTGAAACAAAAGGAGGGGAGGTGCAGCCCTTTAGAAGCTTCATAGTGGGTGGAGTCTTTATTCCGGAACCCCATTGGTGACACTTGCTAACCTAGCCCTTGGACCAGGGCCCTTTCGGCTTGAAGATCCGAGCAACCCAGCAGGGTCGCCTCCCACTCCTCTCTGGTGGGGTTAGGGTTGGGGGGAAGAGCGGAGTTGTGCTGGCAGGCCCAAACGATGTGGTAGGTGTCAGCCACCTGCCCACAGTATTGGCACTTGCCAGTGGAGGAGGAATCGAAATGTTGCATGATTGCCGTTCCTTCCCCAGCCCCTTTGCAGGAGGCGGGTATTGACGATGCTGATCCCTGTAATAGGTCGTAATATCTTTGAATGTCAGCAGATATCCGCCTTCGGGTTGCAGGCACTCGGGATCTAAGCGGGATGCCCGGTGAACGAGTGCTCAGGCCGCCGTGTTCGAGCTTCATTCCCCATTAGGCCCTGGAGTTCAGACTAGGCAACGAGGGGTAGGGTCGATTCTTCGGTTTCGACATGCCCCATGCGAATCTGATATGATACATTAAGATTGATGGTCAGAGGCAGCTAGGGCAATAGCTACCGCTTGCGCTTGTGTTGTGCCAGGAGCTTTAAAAGCGAGTCCATCCACTTGCTTTTCCTCGTGAATTACCGCTTCCATATACCAGCCCCCGCAGTCAGGACCAGCCACATCCACGTAGAAGACTCCGTGTTTATTGCCATAGTGACGTTGCAAGGCGTGTGCCCTTGCCTGGCGACGACCACTATTGTCTTCTCTATCAATCTTTAAGGGGGGTCGAACACGGCGCGTCTCCAGAGTTCGGGCACTCGGACCTGCTCCTGAGTGTGAAAGTCGTGTTTCAAGTGAAGTTGGTTTAGCAGATGCCATCTCGACTTTGTCTGTGTTAGACGTGTGTATTAGTTCGTGAGGTGTGCTTTCTTAAGCTTCTGAAAGGTGTTCACTACTCCCAGCGCGAGAAGTCGCGCATTAGAAGTTGTGACAGGTAGGCCAACGGCCCTCTTAATCACTTTGCGGATGATTGCCTCGACTTTCTCTAGCATTATGCTTGCGCAATACAGATAACCGCGCAGCTTCTCATTGTTAAAAACGATAAAAGAAAGACGTACAAAAACATTTTGTAACACAATGTATGACAAGTTTCATACAAAGTATTACATTTTATAAGTGAAAGGTGTTGTACATATGACTCTTATTTTCCCACAAATGGGATGATTGAAATAATTGCGATGAAGAATGGACTCAGACAAATGGAGGTTAACGGGACAAAGTGCAAATTTCAACTGTTTTATATTCATGCTTCTTCACATATATTTTTTTCTATGCATGCATGATCAAAATATGGACATGAACAAACTGCTGAACAGGCTGCATGAACAGGCTGCTGCTTCTAATGCAGGTGTGCTCCTTTTAATTGATGATGGTCAGCTTTTGAAAAAGCCCTTTCAAGATTGGAGCTTATCCGATAAATCTGTATTTGTCAAGTTTTACCTGGCGAGTGTTTATCGGATCTTTTTGGATCTATCCGAAAACACCAAGGCTTTCTTATGAAAAAAGAGTTTTTGAGGTGTTACGATAGTATTGGAGGAGTCTGTTACGAAGAACAGGATAAAAAGAAAAATGGTGGGAGGGAAAGAAGGAGGTGGGCGCTTGCTCGGTCTTTGGCACATGTTTCTAATTACTCAAAAAGGGGGAAGGGGGTGCTTGCTCTGGTAAGGCACTTGTTTATTATTTTTTACTTGTTGCATTTTGCTTGCATTAGTGTTGTTAAGTGTATATCGTGACATCACATTGAGCACTTTTGCTGTGGGAAAAAACACCGTTAGAGCGCAGCAATGGATGACTAAGACGCAAGTTTTTGAGAATTCTGAATTATGCTCCTGTATCTATTACTAATTTTCTGAGGTTGCTATCACCCCTTTAAAGTTGTTCGCACCCTGTGGTGCACATGTATGTCGCCGATAGGCTGCATTTAGGGTTAACCGCTGAGTGGCAGGTGGCGTGCTCGCGTGTGTTTGACACCATCATCATCATCGTTACGGTTAGCGCGGTAGTGCCGATTGCGACACCAGGCGGCTTGGCTGATGATGGCACATGAGACATGATCGGCTCCTTGGTGTGTGGCGGCCGGTGTGCATCCTGAGAGGGTCCCTCGCAGTGAGTTGAATATCAGCGACATCGTCTTTGCGTTACATTGCGTGTTTGTTATGTTGATTGTGTGTACTTAGCGTGTCGTTCACTAGTGATGCATTTTATTCAGCTCACGATATCGATGTATAAGTAGTTTAATAAATGGTTTTGTTTGGTTTGGTCAAACTGTATCAGCTGTGTTCGTTTCAATACCCCACAATTTATATACAAATTCGTTAATCACCTGCATTCCCTCCACCCAGGTCGGATAACCGAGTGCGTGCGGTGGTATTCAGTCCATCGGCATCTGTGCGGCTGCGCTACCTACTGGCAGCATTCCAGTTTCGAGAGAGGGTTCGCTTTGGTTATGTCCGACTGGGGCAACCAGAGACAGAGCCTTTGCGCAGACGCCACGCTGGTGTGGGACTTCGCCAAGAGTCCCTGCTGATCTTCAATGAGCACACTAGTGCCCCTGTGGCACTCCTTAGCATGGCAGAGCTGGATCCACAGTCTCTAAGAGACGTGCTCAAAGCAAACAGGTGCATGGGTTCTGCAGGGCATGCCGTGCATATGCAATTGTTCATGAAAGAAACGCCATAGCGTGAATGCATGGCATTTGTCACAGGCTTCGTCACGGTGAGGTGTTCACCTTAATGGAAAGTTTTCAAACAAGCCACATTATAGTGATAAGTTTCTGTAGATAACTGGAAGTAATGGAGCAAGGATGTAGGCTTTACTAAAAAAAATAAATATAATTTTATATTTTTTTAGAAGGCCCTACTAGTACTTTATCTCATTCAGTTAAATGCAAAATATAAATCATTACTTGTTGTTCACTCTCATATATTAACAGTGTAAGAATAAATGTCCTTGGTAGTGCTTTGATTACAAAATAAGATTTCAACAGTCACCACTGTTTAGTTCAAACAGTCGTCACAGTTTATATTTATAGATGTATCTTGCTGCTGGCATTTAAGAATAGCAGCCCAAGTTAATGTACTGAACATGTAGCCTCCTTGCATTTGACGTAGTTGACCATTTTTCTATCCATACATGTGTTGCCACATAAAGGGCTGCACTTTATATGTGTTTGCTTGGAAACAGTCGGGCATTTGTAAAGTGTTTACTTATCTGATGGGCTAAATTTTTTCTTTTTCGTATGAAGCCACCTTAAAATGTTTTGTATCTGGCTTGACTGCTTTTCTCTTTGTTCTGATTTCCCTCAATTTCGCAGGTTTTTGATCTTGCCACGAGTTTCTTCACAGGTTCTTTTGATGAGCTCTGTCCACCTGAAGCCATTCGTACACGTCGTCGCCTCTGTGTAGTGCTCATTACAGGCAACACAGCTTTGCATGATCCGAACCGAGCGCAGTTGAGAGACTACATTCAACAGAAGGGCTTTCCTGTTGAGCGTGTCAGGTAAGATTTTTCATTAAAAAATTCTACTTACTGCTTACAAAGCTGCAATGGCAAGCAACGCCACTTGAACGCGAAAACTTTTCCGCTGTGCCGACTCAATCGAACTATTCTATTCTGGGTTGTGGAAAGGGTGTGTGGAGGGATGTTTAATGAAGTAATGGTTTAATAAAGTAATAGTAAAAATTTCATGGAAAATAGAATTGAATAGCAAACGCTATATTCGAAAAATATAAAATTTTTTTATTATTTGGACATCCCAGGTAGTAAGCCAACCTGCACAGTTACATATGTCTCGTAGTTCATTTCAAATACTTAAAAATTCAAATATTTTAAATTTTATTGAAGGGAATGGGAAAACTGTAATATTCGTTCGAATATTCGAGGAGCTCAAAAACTCGCAAGTGTCTATTCACTTCACAATCTGCGTCAACCAATGTGGACACATTACGACTTTCAACAAACAAATAATGAGTGCACTTAACTCTTTACTGCCCATACTGCCGCTTAATTTTCATAAATTTGTTACTCAGAACACTTGTACATTTGACCCGAAAGAAAAAAAGAAAAGAATTTTTGAATGGTTCAACAAAAACTTGCTTTCTTTTAAGTTACCTTCTTCAGAAATAGCACCGAATTTTTGCCCTGCAAACTTAAAAAGAGATATAAAAGCGTGAAAACTAACAGCCTGCATACATGCTATGTAAAAGTGACTGTAGTCATTCCATGACTGATAGAAGTAGTGAATAGGTGACACTTCTTGATATATATTTTTTGGTTTTGACCCGCAGGTTTATGTTTGTGTACAAGGAAAAACAAAAAGAGTTTGTGAATACCCTGAGCTCAGGTGAGGATTCGCCCGAAGACCCTATCCTTCATATGGTAATTTTGTGGAGGAAAGACCACAACTTAGTCCAATACCAGTGGATTGATGCACCGTGGCTTGATGAGCCCCAGAAGGTGAGACCCTAGTTGGGGTGTTTAGTGTAATTTCGAAAAGTGTCCATGCCTTCTTAAAAGTGTCTTTAAAAAATTTTTTTTGGGTTGCTGGCACAGTTATCAGATAGCACTTTTCCCATTCATTGTGAAATGTTATCATGACTAGCATTGAATAAGCACTTTCAAAGTGACGCTCCAACACTAGAATTTATCTAAAAGCACTGGTAAGAGTAAGGAGGCTGACAAATGATTTGAGCTAGTGTTGTGAACTGGCCAATAACCTTTCTCTTATTGCTTTCATTAGTATCCACATGCATTCTTCCTTCTCCCCGCTAGAGGATCACTCAATTACCACAGTGGTCATTTGCCGGTGCCCTCAAAATGTGCTGGCCGTCTGAAAATGATGCCGTTGTTAAGCTGCTCCTAAATCTAGGTGTTCCCTCATACAAAATACCACCACACTGCCACTTTTTTCATAGGTGTTTGCAACAAGCTGATGCTCTGATGAGCATTGTAGTACCATTTAGAATTCCAGAAAATTGAAAGTTCAGTCGAGCCTGCTTATAACAACATATAAGTGCATGAAAATTTCATTCTAACCAATAATGGTTATTACTGGGTTGGAGGGTGGCGGTTATTTTTCTTTTACAGTGATAACAGTGATACTGCTGGTGCGCCTCTCCTCCTTCTAGCTGTGGATTGTTTTACTCATTGAAGCCAAAAAGTGGATATCATTTCATGAGTAGGTCACTTTGGGCACACAGCTTTGCATTCTATGCTTACATGACTCCAGCAGTTGATGCCCCCCCACACACACACTGAAAACCAGCCCACATTAGGAAGCATGGACGAGTTGGTGATGATTAATCTCTGACAGCTCAGCACTGAAGAGACGAACGAGGATAGAGAAGAACATAGCACAGTGCTCGTGTTGTGTCGTTCCTATTGTGTTCTTTCACCTTGTTCTCGTCTGTGTACACACGGCATGTTCGTCATTGTAATCAATGTCGAACTAGGAGTACTCACTGTTATTGCCCGATTGACAAGCCTGGCACTGTGCTCCCTCATAACACCAAGGGCACGTAATGCTGCAGGCAGGAAGTGCAGACTTAGATGCCACAGTTAGGGGGTAGATAAGGGCCTGGAAGATAACATTCGGGTTTTCACTCAATTATAGTTGACATCCACAAACTACAATTAAGAGCCTTTAATAAACCAGTGCCACCCAGCAGCCGCTGATTTCAACAAACCCTTTCCTTAAGCTGCTGAGGTAGGGATTCTCTGGGCTTGGTAAATGTGCCGTGTCAAGGGCCGTCATAAGCAGCTGAATTTCAATTTCATGTCACAGTTATGGCTCTAAACTCCGTTATGTTCCCCAAGTGTTTGTATACACACTTCTTACCTTGTGGCTAGCTGTTACAAGGGACTTTTTTGTGCACAGCTGAACGAGAGCAAACAGGAGCTGGAGAACGCGCTGTCACGGCTGCTGCACTCGTCAGAGGCCCTCCCGCACGATGCCCGTCTGGGCGTGCTTGTGGACGAGCACGCCCGTGGCCTGCTGGGTCGTATTCTGCGCCGCCTTGTGCTCATGGGGGATGCATTGCGGGACCACCTGACACGCTATGAAGTCCTGCCCGCCCTCTCTGTGGCGCTCTCCTTTGGCTTCATCGTGCTCGTCGGCTACTTCATGTCCTACCTAGTGTGAGGAACATGGTCTTATTGCTTTATCGCACTGGCAGCATATGGTGCCAACTATGTGCTTTTTTGTGTACCGTACTAATGCCACATATTATACTCTCACCATGCAAGACAGAAGTTAAAGTGGATATTGCGAATTTAGGCTTGTCGGTGAAGTGTTACGAATTCAATGGTGCACGTAAATGACCCAGAAACAGAAAGGGAACACTCCATAGGGCTGATCGTGGCTTGAAGTGATGAAAAATTGGTGAAAAGTAATGTTACTGGCAGCAAAATTTTGATAAGTTGTCCTGTGGAACATTAGCTCCAGTGAAACTCCTTGTTAATAGTTTTCTGTCGCTGTCACCATGTCACTGATTTTTAAGGTCCTACTGCTAAACATTTCTTGCACCATGTGTTACAGTAAGAAAAAAAAAAAAAACATCAATCAGCTGTTTGTGCAGTGTAAGGAAAATGTACCTACTGCCCTTTGGTCAAACCTACCAAATGTTGCGTCCTTACATGTTACAGATAAGCCGGTCCACCTCAGGCAGCATCATCAGTTTACTTTTACATTTTCATTGAAGCAATATTGTTCTGCTATTTAGTCTGATCCTTGCATAGCCACTCTAAGAAGCACAATAAAAGTGAAAAAATGTGGAAATTTAGTAAAAAGAAGTGGTTGGAAACGGGGTGAGAAAACTTGGCTAGAAAATTCCAGGCTGATTAGAGCGATTTCTGATGGAGGTAGCTGGTGTGTATGTCAAGAAGTGCTGTACAAATCAATGTGCCCACATCGTGAAACATTTGGTGAGCGTAGAATTCATCAGCATTAAATAGAGTGCCATAGATTGAGCTAAGAGGTGGTAATGTATATAAAAGAAAACTGCAGAGTATTCATAACATTGAACCTTGATTACACAGTATTAAATTAGCAGAAGGAAAGGGTTACTTTTAAGTTCCACAAAAATCAATTTGCAAGCTTTAAAGAAAGATGTTATAGAGTGCTTTTTGGAAAGTTGCCAATCTAGGGCTTGATTATACCGTTGGTTTTAAACAAGCCTGTGCAGAAATACTCAGCAAAGTAATACAGAATACACATCAAAATTAAATGAATTGAGAGCCTAGAATACAGATACTGAGGTTCAGTTGTTCTTAATGTAACAGGATATTTCGAAAATACTTTTGCAGAAGGACTGAAAAACTATCTTGAAAAACAAATACAGATACCACAATAGTTTTTTTTTTTTTTCAAGGGTGCTGATGCTCCACAAAGACATTGATAAGTTCTGAATAATATGGTTACTAATGCTGCAGTGCATTGAAAATCTCTCAAGTTAAAAATATAGCTCAAATCCTTAACATAGACTAGCTAATCAAAAAAAGGTACATATTTATTAAAAACACAAAGTATGCTTTGATGGCAAAGTTATTTAATTGCACTTAAGCACCAGCAGCTTCTCAAGTAGACTGTCTTTTAGAAAGCCTCAACACAAAACTCGCGAACTTGCGAAATGGCTCCTCACCCCCCAAAATTACAAAGACTTTACCAGCTTTGAAACAGTTGACTTTTGTGAGAAGAGGCCGACAATATTGCCTACGGGATGCCAACGTAAGCGGCAATGGTTGCTTTCTCACATGGGTCACTCTGCACGTATGAGCAACCCTTCACCACCCACAATGGGTTGCCAACCAACATAGTACCTTTGCTTGGTTTGGTGCAGAAGAGTGTTGCCCTTCTAGTGCAAACACATCCACTCATTACCAACGAAAGAAGTAACGAGATACCCATATCCTGCAAAGTATCATGATATAATCTATGCATGGTAAGATTATTCCACTGCTGAGATACGTTTTTAATGCATCTGTATACAGAAGTACAGATACTCAAAAGTATCTCTAATATGAGATCACGATATTTGTGTATTGCTATAGTGCTCAGCTCTGGTTTTTAATAAGGAACTTGTGAGACTACACATAGTTCAAGGGGTTCATGTAAAAGGCTATAATAATGTAAGCAGCAGCATTTTCATAAACATCATGTGCAGGTCGATTTTTGCGCCCTTTCTTTGCAGGCAAATGGAAGAAAAAAGTATCCAGGAGCGCTATAGACGAGAAGGAAGAGTGCCTCCCTCAGCAGCGAAACCCAAGTGAGTCAGTGCAGCTACGTACTATGTTGAAGCTGTTTGATGTGGATTCGAGTAGCATAGAGAAAAAGACATCTGATATGTGCAGTTTTGATCTCTGTTGATATCAATTTACATCAAAATTTTCAAGGTCTACACTGAAAGAAGATGCTGTTAAATTTAGTTGCACAGTCCAGCAGGCCCGTGAAGTGGCGAAGAGGCAAGGCCTTGACGTCCCGACATGACAGACCTGAGTGCGGGTCACTAATTTGCCAGACAATCAAAGTTTTTTCCACCACCACCATCATTAAAGAACCACAAGTACTTGAAGTTTCTGGAGTCATTCAGTACAGCGTCCCTAATAATCCTATCATGATTTTGGGATGTTAAACCCAAACAATTATTATGATTATATGAAACAAGGTGAAATTACACAACTAAGTAATGTGATGTGGAATGGCATAAAATGTGTAACAATAAATTTAATATAAATTTTTATGAATATAGAAAGAAAACTTCTTGAAATTTCTTTGACTAGAGTATTTTGTGACCACAAGCTGCTGTAAATCAGCATCGGTTTCCTCCTTATTATGGAATGTTATGTAGCACAGTTCAATAAACACTCGGGATGGACGTCAGTGCTAACATTTTCTGAATGTTACTTGCATATATGTGCTTTGTGTTGTCCTGTCAGCCTGTAATGAAGCCATTAACCTGTTTGGGGAAAGGTTTTCCAAGCTTCTCTTATCTGTAAATCTATCTGCATGTACCTGACAACTAAATCTTTTCCTTTGGCTTCTTCATGCTGTACCACAGCAGTGCCATCTTTGTTGTTCAAACAAGAAATAAGAACCTGCACTAAGGTCTGACAGGTGGAGACATGTTAAGAAACGCACCTCTCATTGGGCCCTCCCCAAGCTGGGCCTGGGACCCTTTGCAGGTTTGTTGACGTTGAGGTGCATGGCTATAAAATGTGGTCACCAGAAATAAAGGGGGGCCCGGAGAACCCCTGAGTGTCGGGAGTTTGCCGGCCCTGTCCGCTCTTCCCTTAGCTTGCCGTGCACCGTCAAAGTTGGCATATGGGCACTAGCTGCTAGACGAACCCCCACTGATCCAGTGGTTCCCGTTTGAGTTTGCGTAAGCCCCCCATGATAGCACCAGTGTACTTGTGTACGGGCACTGGTTTTCTTATAGAATTGATATAACAGACTCCAGAGGAAATGCTGGACTGACAAAGCTATAGCCACACAAGCAGCGACATGTTGGTATGTTGTCATTGTTGCCATTACTGTAGAGAGGAAGAAGATTATGTGCCGCAGTGGGTCACGCCCTTAGCGAGAGGAGCCAAGTGCGAGCGTTTGCCCCGATTGCTGTGATTCCTGGGTCCATTGCTGGGTAATACGACAGACACAAAAGTTGTCGGGCCACCTTCCTCGCGCACATATCGTTTGATTTCCGACATGATTGTGTTGTGGTCTCCACCTAGGGTCAATGCCGCAAGAGTTTCGTCAGTAGCCGCTGGCCGCCGTGTCATGACCCGTTGCTTGCGCAATTCCTCGAAGCTCTGGCAAAGAGTGGTGAGTTCGGACATGGTATGGGGGCCCTTGGCCAGCAGCATATGGAAGGCGGCGTCGTCTATCCCCTTCAAGATGTGCTTGATCTTGTCTGCTTCGATCATTGAAGGGTCAAGGCGCTTGCACAAGTCGAGCACATCCTCGATGTAGCTTGTGAAGCCTTCCCCCTGAGGTTGTGCGCGTCCCCGTAGACGCTGTTCGGCACAGAGCTTGCGTACCTCGGGGCGATCGAATACATCGGTAATGCGTAGCTTAAAAGCACCCCAAGTGGCGAATTCCGAGTGGTGGTTGTTAAACCAGAGACTCGCTACTTCTTTCAGGTAGAAGGGTACATATTGCAGCTTCAATGTGTCGTCCCACTTGTTGCTTGCGCCTACCTTTTCAAATGTCGACAGCCAATCTTCTACGTCTTGCTCATCGGTACCGTCGAAAAAAGGTGGATCGCGCACCCATAGCGCAGTGGGCACGATGACCATCGGAGGCTGGATCGTACCTTGCTGGGTGTTTTCTTCAGCCATTTCTGGGATGGCAGGTAGTTTCCTGTTGCGGAGTTCCAGGTTGAAATACCCAGCACCTCCACCACTCTGAAACGGGGTTTATTGGCGCAAGTAGTGAACAGCAGGTCTATTGATGCGGAAAGCGGGCGGCAGCAACGGACCCAGGAATCACAGCACTAGGGGCAAACGCTCGCGCTTGGCTCCTCTCGCTAAAGGCGTGACCCACTGCGGAACATAATCTTCTTCCTCTCTACATTACAATATATTACATAAGTACTAAATGTATTGGAGAGAAATTTTAGCTGCCCTGAATATAGAAAACACTCCAGTTCTTAAAATGTAAATCAAGCCTGTTCGTGTATTGTAAATTAATAGAAATTGAAATCGCTTGATGTTTATATTGAATACCTCTAAGAAGGATTCAGCGTCTATGCGATTTAGTGTACTCTGAAATGAGTGTTCGCAGGTTTGTTTACTAGATGGTGGCACCATCCTTGAACCAGATAAACATTCGAGAGTGTAGCCGTGTGGCCGATTGTAACGGCTTGCCTGCTCATCAGGTGCTTCGTGTCTCGTCGTCAGAGTTCTTTTTTTTTTTGTTGCCATTGCCCAACGTCTCAACTTCATGCAACGGTCGTAACTGCGATGAAGCAGAGCGCCATGAAACAGAAAAAAAAATGCAAGAGTTGATTGCAGCATGCAGAGGCGAATGCGAGTGAGACGTCGCCTGAAAGTCCGAGTATCGTTCCATCATGACTGTACCCGTGCAGTTACAGGTTCTTATGCATAGGCCCTATGGGGAGCTTCCCATCTGAAGTATGTTATGTATATTAACTCTATGGGTTTTCCAGATGAGGCCCAACAAGCCCAACTTATGTGCGATGATGCACTATTACCTCTGCTGACCTTGTCGGATCTAAAGCAGCGTGGTCCATACCAAAGCAACAATGTGTCCTCTCCGAGTTACTCATTCTCCTCGTCGCAACTGGGGGTGCTTCTTGTAGTCGTGACAACACAGTGATAATGCCATGGAGAATTTTTTCCAACTATGACTGAGAACATACTTGTACAAGCAGCTGACACAGCAGCAGAACAGATGATTTACTTGTCTAGTATGTGTGAATGATACATGCATGTATGGATGTCAATACAGTCAACTGATGATTTTTGCTTATTCATGCAACAGAAAAATCTCATTAATTTGAACCAGAAGGAACTATAAAATTGTTCGAGTTCAAATTCAAATTTAAATGTTCAAATTAGCAGGTGGGCGTTTAAATAAACGAACATCACATCACGCTGCGCGGGCACAACCTAAAGAAGCCACCTCTGAACACGTTATCGCGAGTAAGGCTATACTACACGCTTGTCGCACGTGATTTCATAAATTGAGTTTAATCAATCAATCAATCAATCTATGAAACTTTATTTTCATGAATAGATATATGCAATTACAGGGATTATTTGGACCGATAGCCTAAAGTGGCTAGTGGACGGTCCAATCCAATGTGCAACACAAAAAAGTGTACAGGTCAGCTTTGAGGTAACAAACAAAAGCAATCATATAAATACAGATAACACAGTAATAGATTTTTTCCTGCACACATGCATATTTATTAGCTTGCAGCTAGTTTTCTATACATAGGCACTTATTAAAAAAATACAATGAAAATCGAATCACACACGCTTACATGTCCTTGACTCCACAGAAAAAATGATTTGCATGCCCTGCTGTAATTAAAACATATAGCTCCAAGAGTGGACACGGCTAAATGCTTGATGAATGATACACGAAAAACAAGGTCTGACGTGCATTCTCTTTAGAATTAAGTGAGCCAATGTTGAAATATATATGACGCTATTAATACTGCGAAGCACGTTTATTTACATGGAAGCACTAATGCAGTCAGAATAGAAGTAGAGCAATTTTCATTTGCTTGTGTTTATTCTGTCTAGACTGCATGAGCATCACTTGCAGCTTGTCCAAAAGCTTTAGCGCAGTATCCGAATTTCCTCATCTGCTGAGAAAATGCTGCTGTTTCGTTGCTTTGCATCTTTACAAAAGTTGGTTTAGTTTTGTTTTCAGCACATTGTGGTCATTCAGGGCTGTCTTCTATGAGGGGCTTGAATTATCCATTGTCATTACCGATGCATTTGAATTATCCGGAGCTACTCTCATAGAAATACTCAGGGATATGCTGGGACCGTGGTGTCAGTTCAAATTAACTGCAAGTTCGAAACAAGTGAATTCGAGTTAACAAGCTTTTACTGTATTTGCTTGCAGGCCTGAGTGCAAGCTTACTATTCACGAGCTCAGAGGAGAAACCTACAATGGGCTTGTAAGACTTTTGAAGCCGGGCTGCCGAACTGTTGTCTTACTGGTTGACCAAGAATCCAAGCCCAAGCTGCTGCCACAGTTCTTTCGTGCCGTATTTCCATACCGCAAGTGAGTATAGACTGCAAAGCATGTGTGTACAGAGCCATGATTCAACGGTAGAACCACTTTATTATTTGCAGATGTTTTTTCAGTTTTAAATAGAAGGGGAAAAAAAAAGAATGCTGCTTATTAGTAATAAATTACATAAACAGCCCTGAAGAGAGAAAGAGAAATAACATTTATTTGTACCCGTCTAGAATGACAGAGGAGGAGGTTTTGACGTCTGCTCTCGTTATCCCCCTAGCCATCGGCACGGAATCGCTTGGGACTCGGCGGCGGTCAAAGCGAGACTGATGACCTGACATTCTTTTTTGGCATCGTGGCTGTGTAGGATTTTACGTTTTTGCTTGAATAATTGTAGGAAAGGCAGGTCTATACATTGTGCACTAAACCTCCACTGCCAATACAGTGGCAACACATGGGGTTAAACACTTTTGGGTGCCATTTACTATGCAGGTAAGGGTTTGTAAATTCATTCATTCCTCGTATTCATATAACGTGAGTGTTTCATCTCTTAAACAAGAATCCAATCTTTCAAACCTTAACATTCGTCGCCGAGTTTTCAGCCTCATTTTGTTCCACAAGCTCTATCACAGTCAACTCGGCCACCCGCCCTATATCTTGCCTCCTGCCCGCACATCTCACTGCACCACTCATTCCTTTCATGTCGGCCGGCCACGCGCCCATACCACGACATTTTCCGCCTCCTTCTTTTTTCGTGCAGCTTCCGACTGGAATGGCCTTTCCACTGATCTAGCCATCATAATGTGCCACTCAACATTTACACAAAATGTCACTCGTTTCTTTTCAATTTGAATACATTACATTGTTCATTTTTGTGCCACTGGTTCTCACTTTGTCTTTTTTTTTTTTTACATTGTTCCTTTTTGTGCCACTGGTTCTCACTTTGTCTTTTTTTTTTTTGGCAAGGTGTTACGCCTGTTAATATGTATACTGATCCTGCACATGTATTATTTTATTTCTGTATTAGTTACCCCTGTTAATACTTGTACCCATCCTGCATATGTATTACATTTGTTGTATGTTTCCCACCCCTTATGTAATACCCCCTCTAGGGGGTCTTTAAGGTAATAAAGTGAAGTGAAGTGAAGTGAAGTGAAATACCCCGGTTTGCGATTTTTACCTCATAATTTCCTCTTTCTTGTTCAGCTATTACTCGGAAACTTAAGTGCGCTAAACGTAGGCATCAAGACATACAACTATGTAAGGGACTTTCTCTCAGATCACAAATACACAGCATGGGAGGGCAGTCGCTCGAAAACAATAAATCAGAGAATAAAGAGATGTCACAAGGGTCCGTACTCTCTCCGACTCTTTATTATAGAAATTATCATGCTTCCTGAGAAGTCGGACAGATTGGATAACCTACATCACACAATATACGTGGACGATGTGATGCTGTGGATTAACAGGGGTGGCGACGGACAAATTGAAAGCACACTTCAGGGGGCTATAGATATCATCAAACAATATTTTGAACCGATAGGGTTGAAATGCTCAACAGAAAAATCTGAGGCTCCTTTTCTGCCACCTAAAAAAGGAAAAGAAACAATCCACCTGAAGGGCTCATTATATCACTTTACGAGTGAATGGCAATGCTATTCCAACCTTAGACAATATTAGAATTGTAGGGCTGTGCATACAAGCAAATGGAAAAAGCACTGAAACTATCCGGAGAATGTGGGGATAAAGGAAGCCAATCTTTTGTGGTTGTTTCAAGCTTCGTGATAAGCCATTTACTATACAATGCCCCTTATTTTAAATTATGTAAAGTAGAGGAAGATAAGATTGAAGCCATTAAGGAAAGGCATCGAAACTGCACTAGGGCTTCCCCTGAACACCTCTAGGGTAAAGAATTGGCTGGGTGTCTCCAATACTTTAACTGAGCTGATAGAAGCCGCCATGATGTCACAGCATCAAAGGCCTTCGAGAAGCAGAATCGGATAGAAAAATCATGAACCGCTTGAAGTTCTAGCGCACGAAGTGTTCCAGAAAGACAGTTAGCATATCTAAATCAACTAGGGCCAGAGTCAAAAGTACACCAAAAAATATGCATCCGATGTTTCACAAAAGCAGACGCAAAGCAAGACCTAAAGCCCTGCAGGCGAGACTTGAAGGTCAATCCAGTGTGCTTTTACACGGACGCTGCAGAATACGAAAGAAGGGGAGAATACACAGCGGTAGTGGTCCATGAGAATGGGGACATGGTCTCGTGCTGCACCTCTAACAACACAATCTCCACAGAGGAAAGAGAACTTGCGATTGATCTGGCAGTAACACAAAAAGGCGCATGAGTGATTGTTAACGACTTACCAAGTCAGCCATTAAGAACTATGATATGGGCAGGATCTCTGCTGCTGCCACCAAAGTTCTGAGACAAGGACCAGTACCCGCAGTGCAAATCCCATTGATATGGTCCCCGGCCCATCGAGGTCTGAAGGGGAATGAGAAGGCGCACACACTCGCTCGAAGGCTCACTTTTTGGTCGATCGCCGCTGACTCACCCCCACGTTCGAGCAATCCCTTTCCACAGGAGACGAACTACAAACTTTCAGAGAAATCGCCTAACAGCGCCTTGCTGCAACCTGTATTTACTGATAAAGCCTGCAGCACCAAATCGGCTGGCTGCGTGTCATAAGCATTCATGTCATGATCCAGAAAATATCTTCCTTTTCACTTCCAATAAAATGTATCCTTCATTACTGAAATTTTAGATGTGCATAGAGAACCTGATGGTTCACTTTCTTTCTTTTGTAGGCCCGTGTGCTCAGATTTGGGTGCACGTTGAAGAACCCTAGGCGGTCAAAATTTCCGGAGCCCTCCGCTACGGCGTCTCTCACAATCATATGGTGGTTTTGGGTTGTTAAACCCCACATATCAATCAATCAATTAATCAACCAATCAATCAATATCAGTCTATTCACTTTCTTGCTGCGGCAAGTGTGATGCAGCTACCATTGTGAGAACATTGAAAGAAGCTATGCATAGTTCTCGTGCACTTATTGGTTTGCTATTGATGGTGCTGATGTCAATGCAGTGGTCACAAAATGTTTTGTTTTTATCGCTTGTCAGTGCTGTGTCTATGATTTGGCTCAGAGGTGTCCCTACTTGAAGCTATAAATCCTAAGACTGACCCTTTTGAGACACATTATAGCTTGTAGGAGTTTTGGCCGCTGTGGCTAGCCCGAGAACCTCTCAGGGAAAAGATGGGGACTGACTGAGAAACATGTTTACTGAGCTGAAGCTCGGCCATAACAGTCCGCTGCCAGCGGCTGTCGCGTGCCACAAGCGCACCCACGATCCTCATTGTTCTCTTCCTACAATCAGCACGCTCGCAGCCACCGCTCCCATAAGCCTCATCATGTCCTCAGGTAGCATATGAAAACTCTTGGTGATAATACTAGTGTATATATATTCTTTCTGGAACCAAGCAGGAAGCAGCTTCTGAAGCATACATACAGAGTTGCACCAAATCCATTCCTCATTAAAGCTTTCAAGCACTTTCTTGTCAATGAGGCATTGCTAGGGTACTGCAGCCTCGTCACCACTACTATGTGGCACACGAAATTTCAGCGGGTTATTCCTCACCTCATCTACTCAGAAATACAGCTTCGTGGTGAAACATGAACACGTATCTGTTGTGAACTGTGCAGTCTTCTTGACCATCGCCGAAGTCCGCATCAGACACAGTGAGGGTTATCAAAGGAGTTCAGTGTATTTCAGTTCAGTGCAGCGAACTTTTTTGTGAAAATATTACAGAAGTGTTGTAAACATTGGAGCCACAAGTAACTTGTTTTTTGACATTTCCTGTTACCCATCAGGGGTTTGATATTGCTGTTTTGCCAGTGAGTGCAACTTGCTGTGTTTCGCTTCAAATTTCAGACCGTGAGGCATGACAGCTCTGACTAACTTTTAAGACTCCTCAAGACTTCTTACATTCTGAAAACATTTATCAGCTTATCCTCATATGTCACTTTAAAAAACTAAAAAAACAATTTCTGAAGTTTTATTACATTTTCAGGACTTCCATATTTACACTTAATTTACATAAAGAGAATGAATGAAATGTCTTTGTTTAGTTCACTACCGCCCCGCCTTGTGGTGCTATTGACTAGTTTTAAATGCTTTATAATGTGAGACTGTGCTTGTCATAGAAGTTCTTGCTGTTGGGCTTCTTGATTCATACTGTGTACTTACCGTAAAGCTATTGTCACTCAGCGCAAAATGACAAAAAAGGAGAAACTAGCAAGATTGCTCCTTTTCTCTCATATTGTTGCTGTGTTGCACTAAGTGGCTATAGTTTTATGGTCAATCGGCTGAGTTTGTCATTATTGTAGAAGTTTTTTTTGGTGATACTGAGCCTTCTCTTGCTTTTTTCTGTGTGCTACCAGAAACAAGACTCTCATGTTCGCCATGCTCCTGCTGGAGAAGAATTTGGAGTGGTATCGCAAAATCCTCGCTCAGACACTGGCCATTCGACGGCCGCTCAACATCAATCCAAAGAACTGCATCGGTACTGTGTTATCCCTCAATGGGCACCGCAAGTACTTCTGCGTCTACCACGCCAAGCACCTAGAGCCAGCAGTGATCAAGAAGGTGGGTTGCATTTACCTTCAGTGATCGCATGTTGACCCATCTGGACAAGCATTGTTACAAGTAGGGACGTGCCAAAGGGTCAGGGCTAGTTAAACGGTTAATTATAGCAGCTTAATAAGATTACCATGCTTGAGGATGAATGAAAATAGAAGTGGGTAAGCTTTTCTGAGTGCTTTCTCAATAAGAGAGCCCAACTGACAAAGGCATCAGAAGATCTTTTGTGAGCACAGGAGTAGTAGCGTGGTTCATACTATGATTTGCATACAGTAGAAATCAATAAACAGGGCTTGTGCTTACAAACCCCTTTTATGTAAATGTTACTGGTGATGCAGCATCTCTGCAGTGATTATTTCATTTTTGTGCATATAACCTTCATACTAGTAGCACAGTCACTAAAGCATCAGCCAACAACAAAATTATGTTACATTAAAGGCATTTTTAGAATGCTGTACAGGCCTAGAAGGTTTCCCTTCAATTGCAGATTTCTGAGTTTTCCAAATATATTAGCACGATTGTCATTGCTCTCCTGGTAGCGTTTGTGGCATCATTTTGTGTTATGGCATATTCACACGTAGATGCAGCAAACAGTTGTATGAGAAATTTAGACAATCCACACTCGCATGCGAACAAAGTTTTGTTCTTGCTGCCATATTTTTGCTCGAGCTTTCAAGTGGGACTGCATTTTATTGTCCACTGGCTATTTATGTAGTAGCAGCACTCCTAGTTTGTGCAAACCAGACATTGAGTGTCACACAGCGTTTTTTTGTTGTCTCCTCACTTTCCATGTTTGTTTTCTTGCTTTGGAGCAAGCTGGAATTAGAAAGACTTAGCTTGCAAAATAAAGTAAGCTGACTGTTTGAGCTTTGGTAGCGGTCATGTGAGGTAAATATAGTGGAACCGTGATTATACGACTTTCAGGAGAGCACACAAAATCGTCGTATAATCCAGGCATTATATAGTCGAAAAGTCCAAGAATACAGGCAGTGGCCGTCAGCCTTCCACAGGAAACTGGTACAGACCGCCTGAATTAGCCCACGAACTGACCTTGTGCTTCTCCAAGAAAGGTAGAATAAATTATTCTTGCCAATGGCAGCATTACTTAACTGAGGCAAGGGACGAGAGAATTTCTATTCCCAACTTAAAAAAAAATTGAATCCAATGCGCATCTTTCTCTCTATAAATACAGTCTGAAAATTGCCCGCGCGTGAAAACGAAACCAAAACCGCATTGCCAACAGCCTTCCGTCAGAAGAGTTAAACACAGTGTCATCACCAACACATAATGGCGACGGACCACGAGTTCACGAATTTGCGTAGGATGCCTTTGTGTGACTTATTGTAATTTGTTGCCTTATGAAACACAACTACTGATGTCCCACTGTTATAATGAACATATACATCAAGTGAAAATTATTTTGCACTGTGGAAATAGCTGCATAACACCCTTTTGCTTGCTCAAGTTTGTGACTGCAAGTGCCACAAACCAATGCAGATCAGCCAAATACCGACCAGGAAAAGTTTCCACAGACCGAAAACATGAAAATATCAGGATCTCAGAAATAAGCTCTTTGGCCAGCTGAAGCTACTCTGGATGGAGCTTCTAGTGACCATGCATACGCACGCGATTGAGGCATATGCAGAAGTGCATGAAACTGCCAGGAGAGTAAATTTTCCATTTTAAGAGGACACCCTGTCTCACTGTTTCCTTTTATAATTGTCAATCGAGGGGACGCACATTCATATTTTGCACTTGTGAGTATTCATTCAATCGTCAATGTGAGTACAGGTGTTCTTTTTTTTTTACTTTGGAAGGAATCAGAAAGTCATAGTAAGATGTGGGGCCAGCGTTAAACTGCATTGTAAAATCTAGGTTTTTTATACATTATCGCCATGGGGATTTTGCCAGGACAAAAGCAATTCGTCATAAAAAGCGGGTCGTCTTGTAATTGGAGGATGTATGATCAAAATTCAGCTTTGTTTGACTGTAACGGTTGAAATACTAGCTTACCTGCAGAAGTTCTTGCTAGGTAGCTCTACTGCAGCAGCGATATTATAGCTGAGACTTCTTTTAAAAACTAGAGGCCTTTAGTACAATTCAGTTTGAAGTCTGAAACCCAGGTGTCATGGTTACGAACAACATGTCTTAAATTCACTCTGCTTTTGTGCCTGCGTTACGCAGAAGAAAGAGAGTGCTGGAGACTTTGTCGGATTGGAAGACTCGAGCAGCGGCTCCGAAACGAGTGACGTGGAATCGGGACGGCTACTCGCACGGTCTGAAGAGACCGACTCAGACATGTATGGCAGCATTCTCTTCGAGGAGCACCTGCTGGATGGGCTGCCGAACTGGCTCGACAGGTTGTTTGAAGGCACCACAAAACGTTACTACATCCAGTACTGGCCGGAGTGCATGAAGTAGCCAGCCCCAACCCACAAGCAGCAGTACCTGCACTTTTCTTCTTGTAGGGTTGTGCCCCCTTGTGCCATGCTTGCATAGTCCTTTTCTCTCTTTCCCACTAGCAAATATGGCTAACCTGTAGATAGTGACATGCATTTTAAGCTACAAACCACAGTACCACATGTGGCTTGTAAGTTTCTCCACCCTACATGCTTTAAGTTGAACAGCAAAATGCAGTTTCACCACATTTAAAAGTATGACTGCATAAGTCGCGTTAAGAGCAGCACATTGTAACGGCCTTGATGTCCTCGTTTTTCTCCCTCCATGTATGACTAAAGATCAGCCTTGCTCTTTTGGTGTTTCAGGCTGCCGTTATGTGCAAGCATGGTGTAAGGTGAAAGTGCGTAGTGCTTGCTCAGGCATGTTTCATGGAAGGAACTGCGTAAGACTGAAAGCCAGGTGAAATATGAAATGTTACCTATGAGGCATAACACACTGCAGAGAGTTTGGGTGTGTACTCTCTTGCTAAGTTAGCTAAACGTGTATGTTTACACAGTTCTCGGGCTGGTTTTGAGTCGGCATTTCATACCTGTTCACCAAGGCATATGAACTTTACAAATAGTTAGACCGTGAATGAGAATTGAAAAAAAAAATATACTATGTGCAGTTGTCTGTGCTGTCTGTACATAGCTTAAAACTTGTGGCTAGGCATTTAATCTTGCACATGAATTATCATTATGATGAGTTTTTACCTAATATGATTGTAAAATGTCTTAACGGTGATGTTTGCGGTATTTTGTGTGCTTCAGATTACATGAGCCATTGGCTGTGCATGGGGTGGCAGGAAAATCATTCCTCTTGTTTTGGGACATGGTTTGTAGCTTGTGCCCTCCTTTTGGACATTGTATCAATTCACTGCTTTTTGTGCCTAACTAATCATTGTTCATCAGGGAGGCATGCCTGCATGTGTCAGGTTCCATTATTCAGACTAATATGGTGGATTGTGCAGGCAGTACTTGGAGCAACATATAGCACTGTGTTGCCGGTAGCATTTTATGTAATTTGTCTGACTGTTCAAAGTTTTGATTCTTGTTGTTTTGCTTTTTTGTTGATCTGTTTTGTGTGGGCAATTTTTTAGCTGTCTTTAAATTCGGAATGCTTACTGTACTGGAACTAATGTTTCAGAGCAAGCATAGAAACTTAAGTACAAAGCAAGAGTGTTGTTACGTAGAGGTCATTTCATGACATTGTGGAGTTTGCTCATCTTGTGATGTGCACTAGTGCCAGCTACTATGATTGTTATCATACATTCATCAATCAGACTTACCATGATAATTTAGCCACTGCTTACTGTGCAGGTTTGATTCTTTTGTTTATAATATGTGCTTTTGCTAAGCATTGCGCTATTTAGTTGTGGGAAGCACCCATGGGCTGCGAATAGGAATGCCCATGAAGAAAATACTCAAGTTGTTTCAAGTGCTGTCTGCACAAATTTTCATTGCTGGTCAGTTAGCTGGTAGTTGTTGATGCACGTGCCCCGAAGTGCAGTATCCTTTACTTAATTTTCAAGTTGTGATAATCGGACATTGTGAGTGTTGTTTCCAAACTGCACTGTATGACGGTATCTGCCGATCTGAGCGCATTCATACCTCACTTCATCGAGAGATTCATCGTGACCCACCTTACGCCAAGCCAAGTCACCACTTCTGCACCCAGCCATGAAGTCATCGCACAGTGTTTTGCTGCGTCTGTGATTGCTAGTCATGAGGCTGCTCCAAGCACCTACTTCTCGGCCAGTGTGACTGTTGCGTGCGTATCTGCTGCCTAAGGATCACAATTAATAATGTGTGCGTATGTGAGTGTGTGTCTGATACTTTTGCACTACAGATATCTTGCAGACTCTGCCCATGGTGTGGTGCATTGTTTTTTTTTTTTTTGCTTGGAGGAAGAGTGTTCTACATAAAAGTTCACGGCTGTGACATTTGTTTTTTCCTCAGGTTATAAACTTATCATGTTGTTTCAGTGGCATTATTTATATTGTTGATTGATGCACACCGAAGATGTGTGAAACTTTGGTCATGCTGTTTTTGACTTAGAAAGACCGGGCATGCTCCGGTGTGCTGCATTTTAGCTGCAAGACTTGCAAGAAGGCCAGGAGTACAACTTGTTTTTGCATTTGTGTAAACTCATCTCTGTGGAAGGTTAGCATTGCAGTTGATATGCCTTACACAGAAAAGCCTGATGTTCAGAATTACGAAGGCAGCTGAATGATTGTGTTTGCTTTGTGCATATGTGAGACTGCATTTTGGCACTGTAAATTAACTGCAAGATGTCCCACAGTTATGCAGGCTCACTCAAGTCTTTGTGGAACTTCCACTGCCTTCCACCTGTTTCATCACTGCTTAACATGTGAATGTCCTATGTCAGCTATCCATAAAGAAAACCAAGCAACATTCTTTTATTTAGAAAGGAATGTTTTGTGTTGAACTTAAATTGTAAAATTTAAATGTTTCTGCTAGAAATAAAACAATTGATGCTGTATTTGGATAGCAATCTTTATTTAATCAACAGGCATTTCTAAAAAAAAGTGGCAGCAGCACATTGTGACTCAAAATGCAGAAGCACAGAGTATAGTACTATGTAGAAGTAAGAGATTCTATTGCATATACTGTATTGTGTAGTGTTGATTGAGAATTCGTTGAAAACACACATGCAAATAGTGTAACTCAACAAAAAGTGCTGCCTGCAGCCACAGTTGCTGTTTTTTTTTCTGCTACCACAATAAAACAGTAGATTTTTAGCAGTGTTATAAACATAGTAACTACTACTCGTTTCTGCTGAATACAACTGTGGCTGGGCACACGAACATAACATCATGTTTGGCAAACTGATCACAGGTTTGTGCATGTATGATATAAATACACATACGAGGCAGTATCAGCAGCTAGCACATGATCAGTACAAGGAACAATTTTTTTGTGTGTTGTATGGAAGAGCTACTCACTCGTTATTGCACCACAGAAAAGGCATGCACTGCAGCCAAGCTAATCAGACTTCTTTAAGTACCTTGCAATGCTGCACTAACCACGTGATATTTTTAACTTCGAAATAGCTATGTGCTTTCTTATATCAGTATTCCAATTTACTGAATTGATTTAAAAGGTCACCCATTGTCTGTAACCATTAGGAAGATATTCTTGGTAACATTTCGGCGCGCTTGTTTCTCTCCTCGCCTTCCGTTTTCCCGTCCACTGTGTGCACGCCGAAATGTTACCAAAAATGTCTTCAAACCAACTCGCCCAACTTTACATTCTATTACATTAGGAGGATATTGACGGACAGTGCTGTACCTTATACATATAATTTCCTAAAGTGCAAAGAAGCATCAGAGCAGTACACGTTGGCTTTGCAAACATTGCAAGAATTCAGCGCAACCTTAACTCTCGCAAACGCTCACACATCCACCAGAGTAACACAATCGACACACTCCCTACCAACTGTTTATTTCTCCTATATATGTACAGATGAATGCGCAAAGGCAATAATTAACAGAGCTGCGCCTGTGGAAAGCCAACAGCACGTGAGGTATATAGCGCTGCCACACAATAAGGAACAAGTAAAACAAAAAAGGTGAACACGAAAAGCAGATAAACCAGCTAGAATCACTAAATCCTTGCCTCGAGAAAAGATATTTCCTGTTGATGCAACACAAAGACTGCTTGATGACATAGATATCCTTATTTTTTTCCATAAAAAAAATTTATTGGAAAAAGTAAGGATATCTGTGTCGGCAAGCAGTCTTTGGTGTTGCATCAACAGGGAATATCTTTTCTCGAGGCAAGGGTTTAGTTATTCTAGCTGGTTTATCTGCTTTTCGTCTTCACCTTTTTTGTTTTACATGTTCCTTATTGTGTGGCAGTGCTATATACCTCACGTGCTGTTGGCTTTCCACAGGCGCAGCTCTGTTATTTTGCATTTGCGCATCCATCTGTACGTATATAAGAAATAAACAGTTGGTAGGGAGCGTGTCGATTGTGTTACTCGGGTGGATGTGTGAGCGTTTGCGAGAGTTAAGGTTGCTCTAAATTCTTACAATATGATGAATAACTAACTACTACTGCCCACCAGCAAGTTTTATTCGCAAACATATAGAATGCAGGCTAAATAGTAATAATGTCTAGGGTTTACTTGCCAAAACCATAATCCCATTATGAGGCACGACTACTCCGTGGGCATGACATACTGGAGGGCTCTGGAAGTTTTGACCAGCTGGTATTTAACATGCACCGAGACATTGTGCAGTACATGGGCCTCTAACCATTTCACTTCCATCAAATGTGGCTGCTGTGGCCGAGATCAAACAGCCTTACTTTTAGATAAGCAGCCGAGCTCTGTAACCACTATACCGCAGAGGTGAGCCTTTAGTATATTGAAGCCTCCACTGAATACCTTTAGTACTTCAAGTGTTGGAATTCTTGACTTCTCTAGCAACAAAACTCATTTGCAGTTAAAGGGCCAGTCAACAGGCTTCGACTTCTTTTTTACAACCCCCAAAGAAGCTCAGCGATCAAGTATTTCAAATATTACAGCACTGCACTGCACAGAGGCCTCCATTTTCAAAAGCCGTTCCCGGGCTGCTTTTCTGCGCCCGACCAATTCTCCTTTCACGTGCAGTGATGCCAAGTCGCTGATCGGCGAATTGATGTAGCACGCAGCTCGTCAATTGGTCTAAACCAGTCACGACAACGAGCAACGCCTTCCCCTCCTTATGAGGAAAAAGGAACGATGCTGCGCAAAAATTTGAAATGAGCTGAAACCATAGTTCTATACCCTTTAACTTCCTTAGCATAGCACTTATTCAAAATATTCTTGTGGCAGCATGTTCACAACGCAAAAATAGACATATTTCTTTTTATAACGATTTTTGGACCTCTGGGTTCTTTACTGGCCCTTTAACGACTGAGTAATTCTGTTCCTTGCAATTTAAATGTATATATGCATACAATGTCGCAACCTCCATTGCAGGCATTTTTTCACAATGGTCTAGTGCTTGCGATTTTTCGCTGGATCGAATTCCGGCCGCGGCAGTCACATTTTCGATGGAGGCAGAAATGCTAGCAGCCTGTTCGTAAATTTTCAGAGCCCTCCACTATGGTCTCTCATAATATCGTGATATTGGGGCATTAAACTTCAACAATTGTTGTCATTCATTGTGGGAAGCAGGCTCCCTTATGCCTTAGCAGCTAACTTCCACAGCAGTGCAAGCTAGAAATGTATTTCAATGCAAGTGCCTTTGTTCATGCCATTATGCAGCTAAAAGAAATGTACAGTGTGACATTGAGCACATTTTTTTCTTGTAAAATTGACTTTTTGTACGTGCAACACATACTCTAAATGAAATTGTTCCCGCAAACCTCCTTTTTTTTCTTCAGCTTGCATCAGTGGCTTGCCTATTTATTTGACAAAGTGGTTAATGAATCATTAAGATTGAAAAAGTGCCTGAAAATAGGAGGAAACATCTGTTTCAATGAACAGAAGCCCCAACTACTTCACAGTCTTTGCAAATGCTTATTTGTAGGCAAACATTCAAGCACTTCGAATAGTCCAACTCGCTTCGACACGAATTTAAGTAATTTAAAAAGAACAAATAAGTGTATATTAGATTGCATTTTAACCCCTGTAAAGGTGGATTTACTGCAACTTGGAAGTACTGTGCCGTGAAAACAACTACTATCTAAAATAAGTTTTGCCGCGAAGCCCTATTTCAGGGTTAAAAGGACACTAAAAGCAACAAATAAGTCAACGTTGATTGTTGAAATAGCAGTCCAGAAACCTCGTAGTGTTACTTTTGTGCCAAGGAAGGGCTTATTTTGAAATAAAATCCTATTTTAGTCGTCTGCATCGGGTTAGCGCACTTTAAATTACCCGCCTCAAGAAGCAGACCGTCTCACGTCACTGTAGCCGTGCAGAACGTTGCCTGGCTTTACTGTGCGGCCGCCGACATTAGTAGCAGCAGAGCGAAAGCCACAGGAGCCACAGCAGCAGCAACTGCGATTGATCGATTTCTCGCCATAGGCCCCAAGATGGCAGATGAGTTTTGGTTCAACTGGGCCCCGCTAGATGGCATAACCTGTCCAATTTAACCATGCGAAAATTGAATTTTTAAAACACTCGCGCCGTTCCCCAGAGTAACGCCCAGCCGTTCTCTTTTCCGTGTATCAAACAAACGAACAAGCAACATTTTATTGCATCTGTTGATGCACGGAAAGTTCTTTATTTAGTGCAGCTAGATCGATTACGATTAATTGTAGGCAGTTCGTCTGACGTCGTCCGGATCATTTTCAGAATGTCCTACTGCTGTACATGTATTCTTGTGCATTTACCTTAATTTCTCGGTAAGTAGGGCACTGCTGTTGATAATATTGTCGTTCTAGATCACTAGATGTCATACATTGAGCTTTCACTCTGACATAAATTATTATTTGACTTTAGGGCCCCTTTAAATAGAACATGTTACTCCCACATCATTTATTCCTTCTTTTTTTAAGTAGATTGTTATATGGTCTTATTATATGCTCTGAGAAAATATTAAAACATAACCTATTTTGTTGGTTATCACTTGCATCCTGCGAAAGCTCAAGTTATGCTACTATTCAAAGCTGCTTCCACCTCACTTTGAACCAAAATGAATTGCATACACACATTCCTTGTTACACCTTTTAAAAAAGATGTGCAGGTTAGCGGGGTCAAGACAAATATGTTTTGATTACATATATGCTATCCTGTCTATTCACCATTTGCTTTGAACCTTAAATTTGTATTCGCACATTCCTGCTTACACGATATAACAAGAACCTGTACACTAAGCCGCTATGTAGCCAATGACATAGCTGCATACAGTGTGCCTTAAAGGACCTCTAAACCACTCATAAGTAGAAATTTAATAGAAATGTTGCAGTGGTGCACAACTTTACAACACGTAGCCCTGCGAATTTTTCTAATAGTGCCGTAATAGCAGAGTTACACCTGTTTGGTGACAGAAACATGGTCCTCCCTCATTGTGCTTTTTCTTTTACTATGCTTCATTCGTCAGTTCATCTCTCCTCCTCCCAGAGTGCTCCTCTTCACTGTGCAAGGAGGTAGAGCGGGGAGCGCATGTATACCTGCTGCATACTAATAATAGGTTCTTTCTGGCACTGATGTCACGACCAACGCATGAGAAATTTAAAAGCTGAGAGAGAAGCGCAGGATTGTTTTTGTATTTTGTGGCACGCACACTGATGGCTCATGGCACAGTCGCGTATAGGCATGGTTGGTCGTGATTGTTGAAATTGTTGAATTGTTGAAAAGATCACTGGAGGTGCTTTAGGGGTCCTATGCAAAAGTTCACTGATCAATGCATTATACTACACAGCTGCATACAATGCTGATGGCTTTAAGAGCAGATGTACTAGACAAGCTTCTTGGTGGCAGCACACAAGCCCTGCGTTCAACATTTCCTGTTATATTAGCAGCCATGCAGTTCCAGCGGCACAGTAAAC